GAAGTACAAACCCCTGCTTCATGAGCAGCTCAAAGTCAGCACTGCTGTGGGTGATCCAAATGCCTATTGTAACAATAGTCGTGGCGCTGGGCTTAAAACCCGTGTTTTTGATACTCATGTTAAACAGTATTCATCTGACGCATTCCCTGACATTCCAATCCCGATCCCGACGCCTGACCCTGACATGAAAGCTTCGGACCCAACGTTTTCGCATCAGACTTGTCCTCCCTATGTCCTGTCCAGTTGTATCTACCCCCACTGGTGCGTATTTACTCATTTCGCATTACTAAACACTAGAGACAGTGCTATTACATGTTATCTACAAAAAGGTGCAGTACACATGCTCTTTTACATACATTCGGACCCAATTTTGTGCTACTGTTTTTGCCTAATGCACTCCGAAATCCTACATAGACATTATTTAATATCTAGTACTTCCTACCTATTGCATTACTTACTTTTCCCCACTCAGTAGTAGGATGGAGGTCATTGGATATTAGTAGTACTTGTTACAAGAACATCTAGACACTTGGGCCCCTACCATTTTTCTCCTTATCCTCCTCGTACCAGCCCTCGCATCATACCCTTACCCCGACCTCACCCTCGTTATCCTTGTCATCCTCACATTCCCTTTCGCCCTCTACCTGTCGCTTCAGCAGAGCCAGTACATCTGGCCAGATCCTTTCGCTGACGAAGCATACCCATGCTCCATTCCACCACCCGACTGATCCTGTGGACAGTCCCTTTGCCCTTACCGTCCGGACGGTAACCTATGATATGATGCATGCCGCATCCCCTTTGCCCTTTTCCCTTTCTTGATCTCTGACTCAATGCGCAGTCGCACATGCAACTTATACTTAGCTCCACAGCTGCACGATCGTGCCCCTGCGCGTTTCACTTCTTATTTTGACCTTTGACTCACTTTCTTATCAAGCACGTTCTGGTTCGCCCATGTCTCGCCTCGAACGTGCTTTCCTTTTATGGTTATGTCCTTTACTGTTTACTTCTCTTGGTAGTACAAGTTATCACCCACTAATACGCTTCCTGTCCTCTATATAAACTCGCTACCATGTACTATATTCCCTAACTTGAATCTACTTGGTTCTTGACCTCCTACTCTCACCAGAGTGATCCTTTCTGCCTAGCCAGCAGTCTATATTCTATCTTCTTATCTGCTCCTCGCGGATAAGTCCTTAGTCTCGATCTTTACTCATCGACTTCGTTGACAAGCAAAGCCCCTGTTAACTAGTTGGACTTCTGTCCTTCTAATTAACGACGATCTTACAATTAACCTTCGGGTGTCGTAAGCCTTGGCAGATACAGCTCATCGTCTAGCACCCGCTTGACGTAAGCTACCCGATTTGGACATAGGCGTCAAATCTTACTTGCCGAAGCCTCGCCAAGTAAGACCCCTAACCTTGGGCTAGCCCAAGGACGTCCTCGACCATTGATGACACACGCTCTGTTTGAGCATCGCCAACAGATACCATCCAAGTCGTAACAGTACTTGATTGTATTGCGAAATATCTATCTCCTCTTTTTCTCCGAAACACTCCGGCACATCCAACACTCATTTGACCAACAATCCAACATACTTCCGACACATTCCTTCACCATCTGATGCATTCCCAACAGTCTGACGCATAGTCCGATGCCCGACACGACTCTGATATTTTCAAACCCGACAGTTTCCCTTTGGACAAGTAGTTCTTAGCTTTGAACTATCTTCCTATTATCAATAACTAACTATCTAAACTAATACCAAACAGCTACCCCTATAGGATTGAATGCACTTGCTCTGCAAGTATAGCAGACTAGGTCGTGCTAATATCTACCTAAATATTTGTTGTCTAGTTAGTATGATTTCTGCTGAGCCCAGCAGGAATCAGCTTTCTACATCGGGCTGACGAAGTGGTGGCCTAGTCCAGAAGACACACATTGAGCTCCACGATGAAGATGAGGAATCTAAACTGTGGGGTAAGTTGGTGCTAAGCTAAGCAAACACAGATAGACCTGGGTGCAAGTGAAATTGTCGTCCCAAGGGCAGCTAAATGAGTAAAGGAAACCTCTCTTTGTAAAAAGAGGGACACCAAACAACTAATGAAGTACTAAGTCTAAGTAATGCAGGAAGCGGAAACAATGCAATGTGCAGAAGGTGAACGCGTGCGATGACATGCGAGTGCGTAAGGTGAAGGTTGAGGTGTGCGACGCGAAGGTAGTGCACGTGAGCAAAGGTGAGAGACAAATGAGCGAGAGAGAAGAGAGAGAGATGAGGCGAGATGAGTGTTAACACCCCAACTAAGGTTGGCTGATGCTAAAGTGGAGTCCGAGAACTGAAGTGCGCGAATTTAGATAGTCACTTGCAAACAACGAGTAAAATTCTTAGTATCTAGAGACACAGAGAAAGTGGGCGGAAAATCGACCCAGAAAATAGAGTAAAGGGATAGTATAAGTAAAGTAGATAAGTGGCGCTAGGCATGCAGGTCCGATGTAGTAAGCCAAGTAAGCTAGATATAGTACGTGAGATAGGTAATAGGGTCTCGGCTGCGGGCGTAGCGCTAGGCCAAGAATTAGTGATGGAAACAATTAGTTAAAATGGAAATATAGTGAGAAAACACACCAATGGACATCTAAGGACATGGGGAGGATGGGTGGACAGATTTGCGGATGATGCTGACACAGATGCGCAGCGCGTGTGAAGTGCGAGTGGCTGCAGCGGAATCTGCAAAGTAAAATATATGAAGCCCTACTGCACAAGACGTATCCTTGGGATTAGAGCTGGAGTGTGTAGAGAATGTGGGAGAATTCGAGGGAAGTGCCTGTGGAGATGTGAGGCTCTACAATGAGTAGGAGCATGAGCACTGGTTGAGACCATGGTGAAAGGGAGAGTGTGAGGGAAAATTATGACTCACTCCTCAACCTTAGTGGACAATATAGACATGAGAGGCTCTGATTCCTGTGACACAAGAGCCCCAAGAACATATAGAGATCACCCCGCTCAAAGCAAGTGAGGATCGCTGGAGGTGTGCAATAATGAAAGGAGGGTAGTTTCAGGCAGCACGAGCACCACATGAGCCACACCAGGAGGTGCTGGATGAAATGAACAAGGCATGTCATTAATAGAATGGTGGGAGGGCGCACCTCAGAGATAAGTTTCCCACAACATAAAAACCCTACCTCAAAGGTCTATATTGATACCGAGAAGTAATGCCTGAGGTGTGTTGTAGCTACTACATGGACTGAAGAAGTTATTTGGACTTCTCGGTCATTTTTTTCTCGATGCAAGTAAATGTGTCATGTCGTTTTCCAAAAGGTCAAGAACTTAGCACAGACAAGATCCATTGATCGAGCACAAACAGAGATGCACCATTGACTTGCTTCTGACCTGTGTTCCTGATAAGCTCTGACACCTTATTATTAAAGTGCACCTGCTCAGAGGTCGCTGACAGCCGTGCATTCATCTGAGACCATGAGACGGTTCAAGTTGCACAGTAAACACTGTACTCAGCATATATGTATGGTACTAAGGCGGGCAGGGGCTCAGTTAAACCGGTGAGACTCCAGCCAAAGTGCTCTTCCTAGATATATAACATTAAAGCGATATGAGTCTGGACCTTAATCATGAATTTGTTTATAACATATCAGTTTTTATCATAATATACAAGAAAGAAAGCATTGGACTCACACATCGGGGTTATTGATATTTAGGTGATGTTTGTATGTCGTACCAAATGTCAAGAAAATATTTGAAATTTAAATTGACATACAAATGGAGACATAACAATAAATTTTGGCTGTGTTTTGGACGAAGTCCAGCATTGGCAAACATATTCCTGCTGACCATACATATGCCAATAACAATAAGAAATTTAATTGGATTTTCTGTGTGTGCTCAGATTTGAAGTTTAATTCTGACCTAAAACATCGGACAAAATATAAAGTTTGGGACATCTGCTTATGTACAAAGTTTTGTCTGACAATTGAGACACCCTGAAAATTTCAGAAAGTCTCAGTCTTCAACTTTTTGCCCCATTCAGGTTTGTCCTAAATTTTTTCCCACAATTAGTAACAGACAAAGTCTGTGACATACTATGATGCTTTATCTTACCTCCATCCCCATTAGCACTGTCCACACCCATTCTCCTCACCTGCCCCGCCCATCTATAAGCAGTATGTATTGGCACCATGTAAGTTGCACTGGTCTTTGCTGCATGGTGCACTGGTACTGATAGGCTTCATTCAGTGTACAACTCTAAATGCTTACCTTCAACACACTCCCTCTATTAGTTCTTTGTATCATGCTGCAATAGTATTCATGTCATCTGTTCCTCCTATGACACCCTTCATCCAGCCCGGATGGGTCGCTATCTGTCAATCATGTTCCGAACCTGCTGAATGATAGGTTTGCAAAGACAATTCAAAGGGTAATCAAGGTCGTTGGTATGTGGTAGTATATCTATTCATGTCTATGATTTCATTGTACTAACTGCTGAGGATTTAGTGCCGACGTAAACACCCCTCAAACAATGAACCATGCCAGTACTTCTGCTAAGACTCACCCAGATTGTCTCCCACACAATCACCAGTCCTTCCCCACAACCCTGCTATGCCAACCCTACCTATGCCAATCCCACCTATGTCAACCCAGCCTATACCAACCCAGCCTATACCAACTCATCCTGGACTGCCACCACCACAGCCAGTTGGTGACGTGTCCTCTCACCCACGTCTGTGCGCTGTACCTGGATGTAAGTTCACACAAATCACACCTGACTACAAAACCTTGTGCTGTCGTAAGCATTGTGTTGCCTTTGGTGGGTGTTCTTCAAAGACTCACAAGCCCACCCCTGCCAAAAGCCAGTGAAACATAGTGATCGACCCTACACTTCAAGTACCACCCAGACCTGTCGCAAGTACGTCTTCTGCCCCTACCATGAACTCCAGTAGTATGTCTCAGGCCATTGAGGCTGAACCCTCTATAATCTCTCTTGCCATTGCCCATGCTCCTCTACTGCCTACTCCTGCTGTTGCCCACACTCCTCCACTGCCTACTGCTGTTGCCCAATGTACTCCTCCACTGCCTACTCCTGCTGTTACCCACACTCTTTTACAGGGGAACACTACATACCTGCACCATTCAAACAAAGGTAAAGATCAGACACTGCCTCCATCAGAGGTTGGCATACATGCCAACCCTCGTTACCCATCGCAACTCCCACCTGTTTTCACTCAGTGTTATGCTGAACAAGAACAGCAGTTAAAGGCAACAGAACATCAAGCTGCCAAGTAGTGTGATCTAGAGCACCACATGAAGAATACTACGGAAGCATATGGATGGTCAAAGTTGTGTTTTCTTAAGTATGGCTCATACTACATATCCTAATAATAGCTTTAGGATGGTGCAGAGGTGACCATGTGTGAATTTCAAGATGGTATCACCCTGCCACAATTCAAGGTGACAACTCGAGTACTTCAGGCACTTGGACTATACTCTGAAGATGACAAAGAGGTGCAAGTCCAATACTTCAACACATCTAAGAGCCGATGGTGCACTGGTCCAGCAAGGGCATGCACTCATTCTTGGCAGCCACCAAGTATACATGTGCAACATAGGTATTGCCATCACTCCTGAGTTTGATGAGATCTTCAAAAGTAACTCTCTTCATGCTGTTCCCAACATCTGTACCAATCTCAAAGCTGAGCATGCTGCTGTTCATCTGTCCAACACTTGCAAACAGCTCAGAGCTGCTAGCATTGTAGCCTCTGATTCAGAGGAGCCTGAAGATATGCGGAAGCAGAAACATTTGGGTCACTTACTGCAAGGCAATACTCACCATGCACACACAAACACAGCCAGCTCCTCAGCTGTTCATCCCTACTCACCTCAATTGGTGATAAAACATGAGCACACCCTTCTGACACCATGTCGGTCACCCTCAACATCAGACTTGCCTCCGTTAATTGTGAAACACAAGTATGCCACAAACCCTAACTTACAGGATGAGATAGAGATCTTTTTTGATTCTAGCTCTGATTCTAGCTCTGAGGTTGACATTACTCCCCATCAACATGCACCACATTCAAGTCATTGTCATTGTTTGCCATCATTGGACAGCAGTAGCCAGAGCGATGGTTCTACTGTATCTGAGTGCTTGTCATTGTCTTCAGGTCACTCTCCTGAGGATGCTGTTGATGTTGATGCCTTCAACAATGTCAGGCCCTGTCAGCTTCTATGCATGTGAAATTGCGGATGGGTTCAAGAAGTATGATAAATTCTACAGAGTTGGACTGTCCTCCCACGTTGCATTCTCACTGGTATTTGGAGAGGGTGTACACTTTCATCTGTCAACCTTCTCAAAGCATCAGAAATGATGGGACTGTGCACCAGCATCCTCACAAACCATGTTTATACAGGCAGGCAAGAGTGACACAGGTTTGTATTCAGCATTCATGAAGGAAAATCCATTACCTGGTGCGGATGTAAAGGCCGCAAAGAAGCACCTCCTAAGACTGCAAGGGCGAACACAGGTACTATTCTATGATATCTGTTTTCTTTTCATTCATTATGCCGTTGTTGCTGTCTTATTGATTCCTTACTCGTATTGTCAGTAACTTGTGGATATACTCATCATGACACATCAATAAAAGCTTTGTGGGTTCTTTTACTTGCTTGTGTATGATTCTGCCAGGACTTTGGATGCAGACATTTATGCTAGAAACAGAAATGAGATGTTCACTCAGCAAAGTCCAAATGACATATATAAATGAAACACCACTCACCAATTTACAATAAAGACCACAAGCATTGCAATTTAACTCATCATTCAAACCCCTTCTCTATAGTAGGGTATGGGTAGCACCACGATTGTTACACTCGGCCTTGACGCTGCCTGAAGCAATAAGTGTTGCTTTTCCTCCACCCAGTGCAGCACCCCCAATAGTGAAAAGTAGATTCAGACTTGTTGCAGTAGTGGAATCAGGCATAGTTGCAGTTGCAGTTGCGCTTCCAGGACAGTTTGTGGAGCAGTAAGCATTGCTTTTCCTCCACCCAGTGCAGCGCCCCCAACAGTGAGAAGTGGATTTAGACTTGTCGCGGTAGCGGAAGCAGGCGCAGTTGCAGTTGCAGTTGCACAACTTTTCAAGAGACTTGTAAAATGTTGGGTTAGCCAAAACAGTGCATACATGTTCTGCTGCAAGACCTTTCAACAAAGACAGGTTGGTGGCTGTAATAGGGCTGCTCTTTGCGCTGTGAGGCTGATGGAGGCATGATTATATATTGTAGAATAGCGTGATAAAGACAAATAACAAATTGCCTACTCTACTAGTGGCCAGTTGCCAGGGTGTCTCCCCTCTGCATGTAGCTTTGCTTTCATGAGCCGATTCTTCTGAAGGATCATCTCATCTAAGAAAAAAATGTATATGTCCACAAGCATCTCACGGCATATTGAGTGATATTCCCCAAACCAGACATTTGTCTGCTCCACAATCGAGGAGTTGAATAGCCAGTTGCCACTGGCATCCTGCAGCTCATCAAAGTGGGTAGGTTTGCAGTGTTCCTGACACCATGCATCTTCAACTGAATGCTTGCACTGGAAGTAAAACACGTCGACAGATAGGCCCACACCTTTGAAGTAAGGGTTGTTCTGCACATGGTAAGACAAAGTGCAATTGTTGTCGTAAAAGATGTGGCTGGGCTTGATGCTCTTGTTGTGAAATACCCTCTTGATCATCTCCTATCCACTCATAGTTAGTCTGTGATTGCAAGTGAGGGAGCATCGGCCTTACCACAATGCTTGTGACACCCTCCGCTCCATAAAATGTCTCACGTGCAAGAATAACCCCACATGGTGAGATGATCAACTGTTCATTGTGGGTGCGGTTACGATCAAACTTTGCATGAAGTTTCCTTGGCTTAGTTTGCTTCATCATCTTCACAGATCCCTCACCAGCAACAACTGGGACCTCAAACTCCTCTTCTACAGGATCATTGGCCTCAAGGTCAGCAGTTGTGACATCACTAGTATCAGAGTTGGTGGGCATGGCTACATATGCACACTGAAGCTGTTCCTAAAGCTGAAAGTGTGCCTGGCAACGTTAGGTGTATACTTTCTCAATGGCCTGGTGTGTGGGGTCATCACATGTCCTAGTCGACAGTATGACACTGCACTCACAGTCCACTATTGTGCAGATACGGAGGTGCGTCATAAGATGGTCAGGACAGAATCTATTGCAATTATTGGAAAGGGGTTCATGGCAATTGTGAATGCCGCAACATGGATGGCCTACGGTTATCCCATCCATAATGACAATGGAAAAATTTCTGTCAAGGGTGCCATCTTCATTGTTATAGAGAACAGTGCACTTGGTACAATAATGACGGAGCTCCTCCTGACCATAGAGCCGGATGCGTAAGTTGCGAGCACGCATTGGTGCAGTGAATCTATCTTTGTGGTCACCTCCATGCTTGACCTCCAGCACTTGACCACGAAGTTGCAAATATTTGATGAGGGATGTTACAAGAACATCTAGACACTTGGGCCCCTACCATTTTTCTCCTTATCCTCCTCGTATCAGCCCTCGCATCATACCCTTACCCCGACCTCACCCTCGTTATCCTTGTCATCCTCGCATTCCCTTTCGCCCTCTACCTGTTGCTTCAGCAGAGCCAGTACATCTGGCCGGATCCTTTCGCTGACAAAGCATACCCATGCTTCGTTCCACCACCTGACTGATCCTGTGGACAGTCCCTTTGCCCTTACCGTCCGGACGGTAACCTATGATATGATGCACAACGCATCCCCTTTACCCTTTTCCCCTTCTTGATCTCTGACTCGGTGCGCAGTCACACATGCAACTTATACTTAGCTCCACAGCTGCACGATTGTGCCCCTGCGCGTTTCACTTCTTATTCTGACTTTTGACTTACCTTCTTATCTGCACATTCAGGATTCACTCGTGTCTCACCTCGAATGTGCCTTCCTTTTATGGTTATCCCCTTTACCAGTTACCTCTCTTGGTAGTACAAGTTATCACCCACTAATACGCTTCCTGTCCTCTATATAAACTTGCTACCATGTATTATATTCTCTAACTTGAATCTACTTGGTTCTTGACCTCCTACTCTCACCAGAGTGATCCTTTCTGCCTCGCCAGCAGTCTATATTCTATCTTCTTATCTGCTCTTCACAGATAAGCCTATAGTCTCGATCTTTACTCATCGACTTCGTCGACGAGCAAAGCCCCTGTTAACTAGTCGGACTTCTGTCCTTTTAATTAACGACGATCTTACAATTAACCTTCGGGTGTCGTAAGCCTTGGCCGATATAGCTTATCGTCTCGCACCCGCTTGACATAAGCTACCTGATTTGGAAATAGGCGTCAAATCTTACTTGCCGAAGCCTCGCCAAGTAAGACCCCTAACCTTGGGCTAGCCCAAGGACGTCCTCGACCATTGACGACACACACTCTGTTTGAGCGTCGCCAACAGATACCATCCAAGTCGTAACAAGGGAGAGTTGGACGACTCTGCTCCAGACGTGGTCACCTGAGAGGCCAAACTTGAAAGGAAAGGCAGGTGGGGGCACAGCACCCTTTGAAAAGGAGATGTTATAGAAGCGTGCACAGTTCAACATGGACGTCCTGCCAAAATCAAGTCAGAACACTGAAGTGATACTATTGACAGTACTTACCATAAAACGAGATTCAGTACTCTCCACATCCACACAATGGCTATATCAACATATTGATGACCACCAACATGGAGCACATCTGGTAAATGTGCATAATAGGTCCGCTTGCAATCATGTGCAGGGACTTTATAGTCGATTGAATAGTGGTGATGGAAACCGACATGACAAGCTGTAAGATTCGGGTAAGTGTCAGTACCTTGTCAAAGATGATATTGTAGATGCACACCATCACATTTGAGATGGACAGAGTACGTAGCAATTGGACTGCGATTAAGTGTGTACAGGATTGCAGGACGCTGCTTGGCTCTCATTAGCTTATTCTTGTTGGTACAGCCATGAGATATGCATGTCTGCTGTGGTGGGTAGAGCAGAGACATGGCTGTAATATTGCAAAGTTCACAGGCCCAAGAGGATGATACTAAGCAGAAGACTCACTGATACCATGTTTCTGCCCATATTGCGTGAAAAGAGAGAGTGTATTGTAAAGCCCGAAGTTCCCCTCATGCCAAATTGTGTCTTTTAATGCTGTCCAGAATGCTGGCACATCCTCCAGTACAATTTGACAGCTGGCAGAGAGAAAGTGGATGATACTCGGTGATAGGTTACAGTCGTTTGCATTAAAAAGTTCACCCCTTGATTTGGACGCAACATCTTTGTATGTATTTGTGCCCACAAAAAAACCTCAAATATTATTCTCAAATGTGTTTGCCGGGTGACCTGTCACACAAGAACTATATGATGTAACAATATCATGTCTCCACACCTCACAGAACAGTCAAGGGAGAGGATCATTGTCTGGCATTCTAAGACAATTGCTGAAATAGCTCAACTTGCTGGGTGCAGTCAGCAAAGTATCTACAAAATTCTGACAGACTTCACCGAGATTTTGGACAGACAAGAGATCCATTTGTTCATTGCCATGGCAAGCCTTGTACTCTCAACCAACAGGACCTGTCATTTATCACATCCATTCTCAATGCCAACTCATCCCTACCCTATTTCCTTGATGAAATTTCAAGAGCAGCTGCTTGAAGCACGAAAATGTTTCAAGTCTCAATTCCCACGCTCTCGCACAGCCTTCATCGGCTTGCAGTCACACACAAACGGACATCAAATTTTCAAAGGCAGCAACAGAGCAAAATGAGTTGCTGGCAGAATTTGCCAAAGAAAAATGAAGACTATTATCAATCAGCTTAAAACGAGGCTTGGTATCCAATCAATACTGTGCAGTGTGACAGTGGCCATTGTGGTTAGGGTTAGAGTGTACATTCAAATTTACCCACCAAATACATACAAAGATGTTGCGTCCAAATCAAGGGGTGAACTTTTTAATGCAAACGACTGTAGCAGGCAGAGAGCCAGGATCATAATCTCCTGCCTGAACAAGGATTATGTTGTTCTTAAGGTTTGTAGCAAGAAAAACAAAGTGGACTATAGATGCAAGTGAGAGTTTGGTCACAGGGGACAGGACACCCTGCAATTCCTGCAAGCACTGGAGTAACAGTAACGTCGACTCAGAGCTCATCGTTGTACCTGCATGCAATTACATCATCAGCAAAGTGTTGTATATCACATGATCTGGTACTTTGTTTGTGCGTGTATTTATTTATATATATATATTTCTTACGCACGAGTGGGGCAATTGGCACGAATGGGGCAAACGGGGCAAAAAGTCGAAGTCCGAGATGCCCTCGAAAATTTAAAGTTTGTGCCGGTGTCTACAATGTCCTGGCGCTGAGATATATCTAAAGGATCAATAAAATCTGTCGGAAGGTTCTCAAGGGCATCTAGCACAGCAAGGGACATTGGGGAAACTGAAATGGCCTTGCAATCCATGGTCGCAAGGCCACAATCATAGCATAGACGCACGAATAGTAAGCACAAAGACTATGGCATAGAAGTAAATGAGTATTGAGTACCATCGGCACACTCAGCAACTGCAAATTTTCAAAGCTCCGTGCTTCCCCTGCCAAATCTCTCCGAGATCGACCAGCCTGGCTACTCCACTCGAGCATCCGTGGGAGCATCCGTGGTAGTATACGCCAGGCTGGTCACGAGCCTAGGTGAATACGGGATCACAGACCAGTCATCACGACGGAACAGCAAGAAATTAGTTTGGAAACTTGGCCCCTTCGAACTTGTCAAAGTAGACTTGTGTCGACGAAGGTAACTATTGTAAGAAGACGTTGCACAAAATTACCCGCGGTCACTGCTGCATTTACCCGCGGGTAATCGTCCTTCCTACTGAATCGCTACGGCAGCTCGGTTTAACCATCACCGTCGCCCGCCCTAGGCTTGCATGCGAATTGCCAAGAATATGTATTTCATTACCAGAGCTGCATGTCTTCTCTTGGGTCTCCGCCGAGTATAGAACGAGAACAGGTATAAGATCAGCGCGGCTAACTGTTGAAAAGGCTTGAGGGACGAACTTTTCCGACTATTGCAGTGAGTAGCCCTCTTGTGTCAGACTGGCCATTTTATTGAAGCAACATCAATAGTTTTCGTAAGATTTTTTCATAGCAACTTCGTGTACATTGGACAATCAGACTTCTGTCGGCGGTGTGTGGTTCTCTCACACGTTTACACTATATCCTAAAGCACAGTTATACCAGATACCATGAAGCTCGTTCAAATCCTTTACCTCACGATCCTTGTCGCTTCCAGTGTCGCTACCAATCTTACTAGGGTGGAAGGAGCAGCGTCCCATGATATCATGGTGTGCCCTGGCCAAGACAAGTGCATCTCTAAAACATCTCCGAACTGCCCGATACAGTCACCGTTGCCTTTCAATTGGGGCAACGACTGCTGGGTGTGCTGTTGGTTTGAGGACTGAAGAAGCTAGTTGGACTTCTCGGTCATTTTTGCTCTCGATGCAGGTAAAACGTGCCATGTCATTTTCCAAAAGGTCGAGTACTTAGCACAGACAAGATCCTTCAATAAAGCACGAACAGAGATGCATCATTGGTTCTCGTCTGACCTGCGCTCCTGACAACTTGAAGGCGTTACTTGACCCTATTGTTGCGCTCCACTGAGAGATGGCTGACGGGCGTGCATTGATCGGAGGTCATGGCCCATGCGGTGTAGCATAGTGGGCATGATATCGTTCATCGCAATCGACTCGTACAAGAAAGTATAGGTCCACCCGTGTCCACTACTTATTCCAGTCATACCAGGGTATACTCATTTTGCAGGGTGTCACAGCGTCCGAAGATCATTCAACTAACGTGAGGACTTAAGAGAGTGGATCGAAAGCTTTCAAGACCAACCAAACTATGCGATCTATTCGAAACGCAACGCGACAACCTGTAAGGTTGTCCTTGTGGCTCATGCACATGCGATGACCCCGCAACTCCGATTTCAGACACTGGTAAAAGGAGATTATCAATAATGACCATCTGACGGAACGTACGGACAGAGACTGGCTCAGAACACAGCACCGTCGCCTACAAAGACATCTTGAACGATCATCGTATCAGTCTGGCTGTGATAGCAGTGCCAGTGAAGAGATAGTACCAGTGAATGCGATCTGTTTTGTTTGAAACGCAAAGCCGCATCAGAAAATTCTCAGATTGCTTACTTCCTTTTTCGTCCTTAAATTTTCGACCCGAGAACGGAAAAGTGCTTGACAGTGACAAGAACCAGAACGCCTCCTTGTCGTGACCGCGAGGAGCAACAGGTGGAGAGGCAGCACCCTGCCAATTTCAATCTCCGCCAGTTCCAACGCAGTTTCCTATCTTGGTATGTGCCAAAGACTGATTCCCGTTTTGGATAGCATTGCATTGAGTTTGGTGTGTGCTATCCAACCGATATAACCTAGTCACCACGAGCCCCGTATCGGGACGTTCAAACTCTATTTACCAAACCCTTAATACGCACGCCAACCATGGTAATACCTCCCAGACCCCCGTGACCCCAGGAGTGAAAAAAAATATGAACTTTGACTTAGTTCCATCTTCCGAGTCTGAACTTCAAGCTGAAGGTCCATGTGTATTCCCCTCCACATCTCCTCAACGTCCTTGTCATCTTTCTGCCGTTACCAGGAGCCCCAGCACTCTCGGCCACCATTCGAGTTCTCCTCCAATCTCTCCATCATTGGTTTCTACAACAGGATCAGGTATGAATGACTTATGATCATTTGTCACTGTTGGGTAGACTCAAATGTGAAAACAACAACAGGAAACAGTGTCGTCGATGGCCCGTCTAACGGAGCTGGGCCACACAATTAAAATTATCACCCTGAGAACGAATATGGCGATCCTTACCATCGCAGGACCACATTCTTTGAAGACCAACATCTTTTTGACCGCTTGTAAGGCAGATCTATCAATTTCAATGATACATCGGAAGTCATCAGTGACGGGGTAGGAATTGTTTCGCACACATCTCTTAGTTCTTAGTCCTGATGATACGTGTCACATTTAGACTAGGGATGTGTATATCAGGATTTTGGAAGAGCTTGGCACAAACACTCTCCAATGTGTCATTCAATACCTGGAAGCCGTTCGTGAACGCCACCGCATGCTCTACCACGCTGCATGTTGGGAAGTATCGGAATACGCAAGGCGGGAAGCTCTCGCCCGTTCCATGCGTAGGGAATCATAGTATGACGCAGGATGATTTTGAAATGACTTATGAGTTGTCTTGTCTGTCATAGTTGCATTTTTGCGTCACCGACCGCTTGAACTCTCAAGATATCAAAAGCGTAGGTTGAATTTCCGAAAAACGACTCTGCGATGTGGTCGAAACGCAGCGTCACCACCTGCTGTTTTTCCTGCCGTTTGCAAAACAAAAAACGATATCAAGTGATGGCGCTGCGAAGGAAAATAATGTCGGTTTTTCTGTGAGAACATTACAGTCAACGACAAGCATTGAACTAAAGTAGGATCCGAACCTGGAGAGAGAGGTTTTGACGAGTGAACCTCGAAGAGCATGAGTTTCCAACTGCGAGAATCTCATTAAGTGAGCTTCAAAGATAATGACGCTGCGACCTCGATTAGTGCCGCATACTAATAAAGCGCTGCACAAAGCCCTGATAGGCAGATCCTGACATGGAGGTACAGCGCTCGGAGAGTAAAGTTTGGAGGTGGGAGTTTAGCAGACGACGAGGTAGTCTGCAGGATTTCTAGAACAGCTGTGATTCTATGTCTGGTTGGGCTATGAGTTACACTCCTGTGTCGTTCAACCTGGACTTTGAACTACATGAGAGGCTCCTAGCGAACCTAGCATTCGATGTGTTTGAGTGCTGAAGCGCTATTGGATGGCAAGTTATTATACCGTACATGCATGTAGTACGCACCCTCGCCTGAAACAATACATAGACTGATTAGAATTCAAAGTTTCGCCAGCTGATGAGGCCTAATTAAATTTTATTTATGAACATAAATCATTAGCAAAGAGATGACGCACACCTGGCTTCATAAATGATAGGAATCGCGCATCCAACAGATAGATTCCGTCTTCAGCAGAAGTGCTAGTGTTGGCACCAAATGCGAACACGTTTACACGAATATCTTCAATGCATGAAATGACGATGAATCCTTAGTGTCGTCACATCGCATGACATAGTGCACGCCAATACACGCCGTTAAGTTTGTTTTGAAAAGGATGCGAGGTGTGAAGCACTACACGCAACATGTCGCAAGCTTAGTCGTGACTCGTGAGCATCATGATCAGACAGCGGTTAATGACCGCGCGCTAAGCCAGAAATTATCAATCAAATGACGGAGACTCAGGGAAGACTAAAAAGGGTGGATACCGCTGAGCAGTAGTAAGCTGCGCCCTTACTCCGCGATAATCAAACAATGTTCGAAGCAGACGGAGATGACACGCCTGGGCCCGCATGGCCTGTTACGACAAGAGGAACCAAGGCAATTGGAGTACCGCGTTAGAGCAGATGAGACACGGTCATGCCGCAAAATGAAAGGCGAGCGAGAAGCCTCTCAAATTGAAGCGATGAACAAGAAACGAGGTGTACTTCTCATGGTCACTATATCATGAACTTTCAAGTTTGAATTCACTGATGGTAACATGTCAACCCCCGTATCACGAAAGAGGTCGAGGAAGGAGAAGTTGATCAACTTGATAGGGTCAATCTGACTCGTAAGAAGAGTGCCATCTCTTGACCGCGCTGATGGAGAGTGACATCGGCTTCGCCCGAGTTCCACATATCACTTACCCTAGATCACACGTGCATTCGGCGATTCCCGAATTGACGACCCTTTCCAGTAAAGTTGAAGGTCTCGCCAAGTCGCATGGATGCCTCCGAGTCAGCTTGAGATGTCGGTTTCGTTCGGGCTGGTAATGGGCACCACCGTTAATACCGCGCTCCAGGAAACGTGGTTGACACAGTCAAGCTAAGTACCCCACCTTCCTGAACCGTCCTCATTCTTGCGAACTGATAGGAAAACCGGAAACTGCGCTCGTCATACTTCTCCAATCAATGTCTGAATCGACAAGTAGGATTCGAGTGTGAAATCATATGTCGGTATAGCAACGTTCGACGATTACCCATTTACTAACGCATTGCAAATGCTACGGCCAGACCGTTCATTCATTCGATTCGATAGCGACTAATGCTAATGGTACACATGGGACTAGCCTTGAAATGTCTCTGTTGACAGGCGTCCCCAAAGTTGGGACTTCTGTGCAAATCGGGTGTAAAATTCTGGGTTTCGAATTCCAATAGATTCACGCAACTGGCATTCTCTCGTGTCATGTATTTCATGGATGGCGATGTAATAGTAGTCCCCACAAATGCACAACTAATCACCCACAAGTGCGTCTTTAAAGCTGACTTTTGTATCATCACAAGTTGATCCATCTATCGCAGGGACAGCAGACATTTTGTATCTGGTACCCCCAGTTTTGTCATATAATTCCCCTATACCTACCGATCTAGGATTTAGTCAAAGGGCCACAGATATAATCAGGCATGTATCGTTACCGTAATGCCGTTCAAATTAACCTTCATGATTGAACAATCGCGCTTGTCGTGAACCCTTTAAAGCCTCGGTCACACGTCTATCGGGAAAGATCAAGAACTTCCCTTCTTCCTATCGCTCTTCTGTCACAACTGACCTTGTGAACACTATTCCCGCCGATCATATGAATTCTATCAACTCTGAACACAACCAGTGTGATGAGGAGCGGCCGGAGGACTCAGATTGGGATCTCAAAAATGTCCCAGTGCTGACGCTAGAACAGGAGAAGAAACTGTGGAGAAAGATAGACCTACGGATAATGCCCATGCTCAGTTTGATGTATCTCCTGGCTTTCCTTGACAGAAGTGCGTAGTGATCGCAACAGTTGATATCGAATATGCCTCTTACTCTTCAACAGGTAACATTGGCAACGCCAAGTTGGAGGGGCTCGTCACTCAACTGGATCTCACGGGAGACAAATTCAACATTGCATTGGTCCGTTTTTTGTTCACGATATTGCCAATCTCACAGCTGGATACAGATAATGTTTATCATCGTAAGTATCGTTATTCTGACAGGTTGTGGGATTTTTTTTGAAGCAATCCGTAAAGCCATATTGCCTGTTTGAATGTCCTTCTAAGTCCGTTTGGAACGCATTGTGTTGGTATTTGCGCGCTGACTACAACCTTAAGCCTGGCTCTTAAAGCTATCAGGCCATCCAGGCAAGTGTTCGTGTTAACATTTGAGCACTCAATGGCTGACTCCCTGTTTTAGATGGCTTCCAATGATCAATGTAAGTCTCGCATGATGGCGGCTAAATTTATCTCACACTCCATAGTTTGTGTGGGGGGTAGTTATGTACGTCATTCAGTCTTAATACGTTCCAAAATTACCGAGGAAGTCTATTTCCAGGACGCTCTCGGCTTTCGTGAAGACGTGAGATTGGGCAGCTTTCGCCATTTTTGACTTGATATTGACCTTGCACTTCAGGTACCCTCAGCTTGTTGGAGTGCGAATCTGCCTTGGTATTTCTGAGGCAGGGTTGTTCCCTGGCGTGGTTTATTAGTGAGGACAAGTCACGAACTTTTGTTGGATATTGCTGACGGATCTACAGCCTTACTTTTTGGTATCCGAGATACAAGTTACAATATCGAAGTAAGCATCCTGTATTTGGTTATCTGATTGGGATGTTGAAGTGCTCCAACAGTTGGCTTGTTTTTTGGTGCTGCAACGGTTGCAGGTTTGTCGTTCAGTTACATCATTGAAATCTTAATAGTGAAACGAACAAATTTCAGGTGCTTTCTCTGGTTTACTAGCCTTTGGGATTGGTTACATGGGTGGCATAGAGGGGCTCGAAGCATGGTCTTGGATCTTCGTGAGCTCGTTCATGATCAATGTCAGAAGTGATACTGAACACTCATACTCAGCTTATTGAAGGCCTTGCAACGATAGCCATAGCCATCATTTCTGTCTTTGGCAAGTGCGGCACGCATCGATCACACAGAGGACTGACGTATATATATGATTGCTCAGTACTGGTCGACTTTCCGGAAACAGCTAAGTTCTTGACTCCGGAAGAGCGTGCCTTTGTTCTCTGGAGGAAAAGTGAGTAAAGTAACAAATTTTGAGGGGTAGATAAGACTGATATTTCTTTCAGAATATGATAATTCATCGGTCGGCGAGGAAAAGAACTTTTCTACCAGGCATATATGGGCAGCGTTCAAAGACTGGCAGGTAAGATGCTAATCATCTCTTTGTCATCTTCGTGCTTCAGCCAACTCGTCAGATCTGGCTTCATATCCCCGTTTACATGTCAATTGTGGGTCCTCGTAAGCGATACACTTTTTCTGTTCAGCGACGGCAGAAGCTGATTTAATCACACTCAGTGAATGGTATCACCCTGTTTCTCCCGTAAGTTGACTGTCTGATCTTCGAAGATGGGGTTTAATTTATTTATGCTAGAACCATCATCAAGAGGTTTGTCGTGGCGAGCTGATTGTGATCCACTTATTCAATTGCATTCAGCTTTGGATATAGCACGCCAGTCAGCCAGTTGCTCACCGTTCCACCATATGTTGCCGGAAGTCAGTTTTCTTATCCAGCTGCAATCTCACTCAGTAATCTGTTCCATTTAGCTATCACATTGCTCGTCTTTGCACACTACGCGGACGAATTGAAAATGCGATCCCCATTCATTCTTGCCGGCCTTACAATGTGCCTAATCGGCTTTTCGATAAACATATCCGCCGCACCCAATGGTGTCAAGTATTTTGGGACTTACATAATTGTCATGGGAGGCTATGCATCGTTGCCTGGTGTCGTTTCTTGGTATACCATTCAGTCGCATCATGACTAAGGCTGACATACGGTAATTAAGGCTTGGAAACAATCTTTCCGGTCAGTACAAGAGGGGTGTTGGCATGCCCCTTGTAATGTGCATCGGAAACCTCAGTGCTGTAGCTTCAGCCATCGTCTATAGACAGCAAGACGAACCTCGGTTCATATTTGGGCGCAAGTTTAACTTCGTCCACACGAGGCTCGCGTGTACTAACTCTTCTTTTTCAGATGCATTTGAACTCATGTTCGTCGGGATTGGATTCACCTTTTTGCCGACTTTGGTATTCATATACAGGAGGATCAACGCCAAGCGCGACGCTGCCGAACGCCTTGCGAGAGAACAAGGGGAGAAAGTGCAATATTCGCACCAGGAATTGCGGGAGTTGGGAGACCGTGCGCCTGACTTCAGGTACACATTGTGAGCAGAACAGAGTTATGCTTGTTATGACTTGGCATCGAGTATACGGCTCTTCGCAAAGAAAACCTGTTTACTGTCTCTTGTAAACTGAATACGTACCCGCACTGCTAGCAAAGGATATGTTCGTGATGAATAGGGTTAGGGTTTGCTTACCCAGGACGGGTCATGTGATCATGTTTTTCACTTTGGTTTTCTGCCAGCTACCGTGTCATGTGTGTCAATTTGCTAAACCAGTACCCATTCTACTAGTAGGTCCTGGTCCCTGCAACTAAAATCAACGCCTACTGTATCCTGCGTGACAGAGTTCAAAGTGTCCGAAAATCGCTGGCAGTGACAAGTTCAAACTCTCTGCGCTCCCTCGTCACCTCCAGTGCTACCGTCAGTCCACTGCAGGGCGCAGAACAACGTTTGACAGATCATGATCCTGGCAGACGGTCAGTACTGCAGTTTCTCGTCATATGTGACATGTGACTGTCAAATTGAACCATCGCACTTCGACTCCAATCATATCATAATCCAGATTCTAGGTCATTCTTATACGACATTGAGCTTTGCTCGCTTTTCATATCGGCCTTTCGCAATTCTCACAAATAAACTCCATGCTGTCACCCCAGGGAGGGTATCCAAACTCTTAGCATGTTGTCAGTTTCCCGATTGCACGCCTCTCGCTGCAATAACTAAATTTCTTTAGGTTGTCCAAAATCAACTCGTCTTTGAAATGGATTCCACGGCCTCAACCTATGCAGATCCTCGGCAAGTACTGGGCTGCATCTACGACTTCTAATCAAGTGCCCACAGCTAGCATAAGACGAAGTTACCATCCCCATAATGCATAGCATCAGCGACATCCTGCATATACACCCGGAACAAGTTCCCTTCTGCTTTGTTCCAATAGCCTATGTGGTGTGGGTGGTTCTCAGAGACTGATGGTTCTGCGAAGAAGCTAAGCGGATGCGTGGGGATCCGAGGACACAGCTGACATAGGCACAAAAGTGGTCAAGGGGGCAAAGACGATGCGGAGGTTCACGTGCCCCGGTGTCATTGCGGGACATGTGAACGGTACCAATAATTGTCGTACAGAATCAGGCTATTCATGTAAGGTTACTGGTGTTTGCCGGGTGTCCAGCGCTGACCTATCTAATAGGAAATACATCGGTCGTGGTATGGAAACCGGGAGTGATAAACTTTGACTAAAAAAAAGTTTCAGAGTCTGGCGACTCACGAAGTTTCTACTTGCATTGATCGACGTTTGTGGAGCTCGTGCATCATAGGATGGCAGGCTGAGCGCTAGATGTAAAGCGTTACGCTCGGACTCGTATACCGTACCGAGTAACGCACATTCTTGTTATAGTATGTGCAATCGGCAATGCTATTGCATTCCTGACACAGCAGGGAAACTGACTTTTTACCGCCAGTGGAATTTCCTTGGAAAGGTATTCTAGAGTGCTCTGAAACGCTCTCCCAAGGCTAAGTCTCGAATGCTCTAGCCAGACCCAAATCTACTTTTGATAAAAGGTAAAATGTTGAAACCTCCGGGGGTGCAGCGGCCTATAGTGATAAGCTGTTACTCCTTTCTGTGCGTAGCTTGATTTACCAACCGATCGGTGCTGACAATCGCCTTCCAAGGGACAAATTCGATCATTGCTGGCCTGATTCAGAAGACGGTAAGGACGACATTACTTTTGGCTTTGGTACTAGACGGTTAGTTGTGCTTATTGGCTGCTCTCAATGAGGTTCATATTTCTTTGATAGGGCATATCATAGCTTAGTGAGCATGTCGCAGATTCATCGGCCTTATTCCGGTTTTTCGGTACGGATGGACTCCCCGACCAACACGCAAGCCTGAGACAGCATCGTTCATATAACACGATTTGAAATCAACGTTACCACGCCAATGTTGCGAAGTTGAGTGATAGTGACAGATAAAACTATGCACAGAGCTGATGTCACTCTAACTACTTTCTCTACAGATTTGAGTTTCATGGATACTCCTTGTTTATTTTCTGTCAGAGGGGCGACGGCCGCGTAGAAGCTTGGGGAGATTAGTCGGATTGCAGCACTTGACTCGGCGGCATTGGAAGGGAATATAGCGGTAGTATCTCCCTCCGTCTGCTACTGAATACTGATAACAGGGACTCGATAGCACTCAAGATCTCTCCAAGCTGCATAGCACCAAACATACATCCTAAGCACTCTTGCGTACACCTTATGACACATTTGCATGTTGCGGTTAGAGTCTGATGGTATCCATGGCTGATTGCTGTAGGTATAAATATAACATCATTGGATCGAATCACTCAGTCGGTGCGTACAGTGCGCATACTACTAGTACTTACGAATGCTTTATAATTTGAACGTGCAGATTACTGCCTCACTGCCTCCGCAATCAAATTGGACCGAAGCTATTCATGAAATCTTTGCTCCTATGATGTCGACATCATGGTTGTGATGTTCCGAGTCCGGTTAGAAGAATTGCTAATCAAATTTAGTGCGCTGAAAAGCAATTCATCATGGCATATGATTGGCAGATGACCTGTTGACATTTAAAGAGCCTGCGCTGACATGAAACAGGAACGGATATCCGTCCCCTAATCCTCGATACGCCCTCAAAACTCCGTCTGCCATGGCTTCGAGAGGCATACCACTGGATACTGCTGCTATATTTTCAACCGCGATGGAAGGAATTCTATATGGTGAGTATTACGATGGATTTGCCCGTCCTATACCCACCAAGCTGGGGTTATGCAGGCTTTTCAGTCCTCATGTTTGTTGGTACCATGTGGGCATTGACCTACAAACGTCGTATGAAGGATATATCTCGCCCAAATGTTGTGGTGGCATGCATGCTGCTGATACTGAGTACCGCAGTAAGTTTCTCACCTTTTGCATCTGGCGTCATCCAGTACTCAAGTCTCCCAAGCACATGATAGTAGACATCATTCGTGTTGAGCAGGGTTTGGTTACCTATCGCAACACATTCCCAGGTGGACCAGTGGCGTTCTTTGCAGATGTTACCCAAATCACATTCATGGTCAAAAATACAATATATACCTTGCAAACAATGCTTGGCGATGCGATGGTGGTGGGTTCAATTTCTATCAGCCAGATTTTAACCTTCGTGGCTTATGAAATGTCTTTTTTGGTTAAAGATCTATCGCTGTTACGTCGTTTGGCGATCTGTGTGGGTTATTATTGTCCCGAGTTTGTTGTGGTTAGGTATCATAGGTTAGGACGCAATCATGCTCAGGAAGTTGCGCTTCTGATGTTCCGTCAAAGTGTGTGGCTCAGGTGCAGTCTACAGCCTTTCACAAGCAACTACCGATGCCGAAAACATCTTCGCTCAATCAACTGGTCAATGGATTAAGGCCTTCTATTCCATGACACTTGCAAGTAATTCACTGGCTTCAGGTGAGCATACTTTTTATCTGAATACTCGAGGCCCGAAACCAAATTGTTCAGGATTTCTGGCATATCGGATGTGGAGGATGGAATGCAATATATCTGCAAATCGCGTTACGAAGAACTCTATGATGCCAATCGTGCGCGTGCTTGCGGATGCCGCTATTCTGTACTCTGTGACGCTCCTGTCGGGATTAGTGTGTTTCGTTGAGGACAACAACGGACAGTATGTTATACTAGACATGGTAATTCCGATCGTCAACTTCTTTTTATCGAAGATAACCAAGCTTTTGGCCACCTAGACTATGCCGATCATCTCGATTGCCTTCTACATGGTTATCATCCGGATGGCAATGAAGACGGCAAGTCATAGTTACCTCTCGGCTGTTAGGGTGGACAAGGAACGAGGGACCCCACAGCAATATCATATGAAGTGTGTGCCAGTTGAGGTGCACATATCCCGTATCACGCACCAGGACAATGACTCCACTTCATCATACTGATCACCCATCAAATGTTCCTTGGCGGTGGCCGTAGAGAGGGAGCACCGTGCTTCTGAGTGTTTTCCGCGTTTTGACCTGTTGGATATTATAAGACTAATAGACAAGTCTCAGCGTTGTGGACAAAACCGCTGAGCATTGATAATACTAAGATTATATAGTACAATATAGAGTCCGGGATGGCAAACCAGGAATATATGATCGAAGTTGCGATTCAAGAGATATGACTATATGTCTCATTCGCTAGGTTATCATTGATGGATGATTTATGTGCACATGCTCGGTTTGACCACTTATATTCTTTGACCTAACTCGCTTGCTTCTCATCTTAGTGTTTTATCTACCAGAACCGCACTGACGCACGGAAATTATCACCTGGGTTGATCAGTATACGCACAGTTTGCCCTTCTATAAACACATGGCGCTTGATAGCGCTGCTAGTGAAGAATGGCACTACTTTGTTACATGATATTACTCGAAGATAGTACATACATACACTGGAAGATCTTGGTTTCTGCTCTTGATTGGAGTCATGGCACAAGTTAATTATACACGACAATGCTTCAGGACCTCCTCCACGTAGTCCGCCATGATTCTATGAGTCTGTTTGGAAGGATGCCTAAGAAAGCGTTATTTCACATCGTGTGGAACATTCATGTTGAACTTACCCGTCGAACCAATTAAAGTAATGTTCTGGGTCATCGCAGGTATTGCCATCGATGTAACAGGCACCCGGGTTTGTGTACCCAAAAGCCTTATAGCCCGGATCAGATCCAAGTACCCCGTCCCATATAGTCGCAAAATTGGCAAAAGCCAAATTCAATGGAGGATCCCGAGAGCGGAATGCAACGAGGCCATCAAAAACTGACTGAAGCCACGCCTCCCCCCGTGCGTTATGAATTCCGCGACCGTATGCGTCAGTAATGAGGAAATTGCGGGCATTTGTAGGCGGAGAAGCAAGAAGAGCAATCTGGCCTAACATATCTTGCGCTGCCTCTGGTAGGTGGTTTCCGTCCACTGAAATCTATTATCAATCATCATTGATTTGGTTTCGTGATTTCCAGTCAGTACCAAAGGAGTCCCCCCAGTCGCTATGGCACAGTATTAGATCGGGACTGCATACGTGCCGCAACACTCACTTAATTCCAAAGAATATCGCATACAGAGTGGTCTCGGGATCCAAATTATTGGATTGGTTTAAGAATATTGTTGCTAGAGGTAATTATTCAAGAAAGCTTCACCGTAAGTGAGAAGGAAGCACACTCTGCATGATGAAGTCCCGGGGATATGGGTTGCTAGGCCACAAGCTGATATTTGTAACAGCACTTGACCACTACAAGACGTTAAGATACAACCTGATTGTGAGGTAAAACATACGGCATAATCCATGACCCGGGCACCAATATCACTGGCAATGCCCTCGACCCAAATGGGGCCGTTGGTCGAACGACCACCTGCAAAGGCATCTGGTGGTATCATCACGGCAGGTTCAAGAGGGCCACCGTCGTGTCTCCCGCCATCAGTGAATGAGTCCTGTATGATTTCATTAGCCAGCTGAAACCTCGAAGGAAAACACCTACGAACGCCAAACGCTACAATGGTCTTAAATTGAGGAAGATTTAAACCGGCGTTGAATTCCGACACTGTTCCAGACAGGGGACCGCACCGAGGACTAACAACAAGATGAATACCATCATTGGGATCTTGCCATCCCAAGACAGAGCCAAGCTTTAGTCTCCACCAATATGACTGACAAGATGAGAAAGCAAAACTGCATAGCATTCCTGCGAGTCAGGCTATGAAAGTCTATGACTGCCTCTGAAGAATGATGCATCATGATACAATGGAGAAATGCTCATCACAAAAGAACATTGAACTGAAACTGCGAAAAGCGAACGAATGGAAAAGAAAGCTCACCGATTGAAGGTACTAGGAAGATCAAAAGGACCCGAAATAAGAGCCCTAACACCCCATAAAGTGGAAATATTGGGAACAGCAGGACACTGTACATCATCTATTGTGCTGCCGCAGCGGGAGTTGAGTCCGTGGTAAGGATGGTGAGAGTATCGATGAAGAGACGCCGGCCGCTCTCAGTTGGACAGCGAATGATCGGTTGTAATCAGGTGCGTTTTTAACGCTGTCACTAACTTTAGAAACTCAACATGACCGACGGCGGTGTCTCTTGGGTGTCTCATGATGTTACTTCACCAAATTATATAAGTTTAAGTTTAAATTACATAATAAGACTCACGGAAATTTGCCAAGTCACAGCTCCTCCAGTCCCTTCCGAGTCGGTGGTACCTTGGCACGATATCGTAGGCTTCAGCTTGGTTCATAAGGATTGGGCGAAGGTGGTTAATTGCCAGCAGGTATGATCGTGGCTCAGAAGTTTGACTCGGAAGTTCGATCCATCATCTTGTGCGCTTACTATATCATCACCCTGGAACAAGTTCATTGACTCCAAATTCGTGACTCGACTCAGGATGGACAGAAATGATCCAGCTGCTCAGTTCGCGCGTCTGGAAGCTTCCGGAGTCTGGACTTGAGTCTTTGGTCTGATTTAGGTAGAAGGCTACGCACAAGCCACGCACAAGCAGGAGCTCCACTCACGTTGCAGATTACCTCCTTCGCGGTACGTTAACTATGCTTCTATCAGCTCGAGTTCCCTGATCGATATCATAAACGCCCGTGTCAGCTGACACGTTAGCTAATAGCTATCACCGAACATCTGCATCGCACATTGCAGCGTGTTGCAACGTGTGGTGGCAGGGCGACAATATATGACTAAAATGATTCTCTACTCGGTTGCACCTGTCTTCCTTCCCTCTCAGATCATTAAAACTTCAAAGCAGCCTTTGAAATAGTAGGTGCATTATGATAGATACAGGCAATCGATAAGATATGACCTCTGAGCACAGATGATGAGCCGTTCTCAACTGAAAATCCTATCCCAATTGGCATCATCGCCTAACGATGTGGCGTCAGGGCTTGCGCAATGCATGGAGGCCTTGCGTCTCGTTTCCTCCCTGCCGAGATCATCGCCTATCATGGTCGAGTATTCGGGTATGAAAGGTTCTGTAATCAAGGCATTCGGAAGGGAGCATCTCTCACGCGTCCCGTTCAGGGTGAGCTTCGTCTTGTTTCTCGTGGTCCACCCTTCTCCCGAGTCTTTGTCTCGCCAATGCTAACTGATCCATGCAGACCGTGGTCGGGCTTGTCAAAGCCTCCATGGAGCTCTCTGAAGATTCGCGTATCATGTATGCTGCATTCTACCGCGAAGATGGGACAGTTGATCCCGCAAAGGTACTCATCGACGAGGACTCGTGGAAAGAGCTTGTACCATACGTGCATACATTGCACATCGAGGACGATCGTCAAGCGTCTTCCGTATTTACCACACAAGCCTTGTCATCAGCAACTTCGCTGAGCGCAAGGTCATCTCCCTCCCCAAGTCCAGCCCTGACTTCCCCAACGCGGAGTCTGAATAGCAACGCAAACACTTTCATCCCCAGCAAAAGTACAGTGACCTTGAAATCGCAGGATGGAACAAAGATCAACCTACAAGCTCTCAGAAAGGGGATGATCTCCCCAGCATGTATGTATCTGTCATTTGAGATCGCACAGTAAAGTTCACATCAACTCCTAGAACCAGCATCGTTGTTGATGGGTCTAGCAAACACATGATATTACAATAGTAGGTTGTATGTTACATGGAAAAATTCAAAAAAGTGTATGGCACGACCTGTGTAGTATCAAGAGCAAGATTAGATATCTAGTGTTCCGGAGAAAAAGGTTTATACACACTAGAGAAAGAATCAGAAAATCACCGAGTACAGAATAGATGAGATATGCAGCGATACACTTGTATTTATGAGAAATATCTATACACACTAGCGAAAGGATCAGAAATCATCGAGCAACAAGGTCAAGAGGAGTTAATACAGTTTCTAATTTTGTCCGGAGTGCTGTTATGGGTGATATACGATTAATGGCTTGTCTTGTCTGAAAGAAGAAAACAAAGACGTACCAAGCACAGGGCAATGTTTCGCAACATCTCTCAATACAGTCACCATGGTCCTTAGGGCCTGGACAAGACCTTCGCCGCGTGCGGGGAACTGCGTCGGCCACGCTTTTATGGCATGCAAACGTGTAATTTCCGCATGAATCACGAAGGAAGCATTTATCCATATTGTCTGGCGAACAGAAACTGTCAAGAATTAGATACCAAAATCTTCACAACAATGACTCACGACGACGGGATCAAAATATTGCAGTGTATTTACGTTCACGTATTGTAAGGCACGCGCTATGAGCATGGCCGCGGTGACGATTTTGGCATTCGATAAGCCATAGGATTCACGGAAGGGTCTGTGCAACCGAATGGTAGCGAGGGATAGAAGGGATTGCACGCAAATTGAACGACGATAACCGAGATCAGGTGACGAAGGAGCAACACCCGATTGCGAGGACGATTGCGACGTCTCACTTGTCAAGGACGGATTGGACGGCATGGATGCTTGCAGGTGTTGTATGAGTGCGTCGAGTGACCCAAATTGTGCTCCGAATGAATGTGTTTCTTGAACACGTGAATCTGAAATGCAAGGACGTTAGAAGAACCAAATTGTGCGTTAACTATACCTACCTGATGTGTATTGCTCCAATAAATTGTTCACCTCGTCAAGGAGTACAGCTGCTTTTGCGTGGAAGGCGAGTGCTGAGTCAGAATATCCTTTTTCACTCTGTCCGTCGACAAGGAACTGTTGTATGGTGTCTACTTGAGGTCCAATTTCCTGTCTGCGGCTTGTAAGGTGGACATCTTGATCAAACAAGTTGACCACCTACATTTTTCCAGGCCAAGGGACAGATACCCGAATGGATCTACTGATGCTAGGTGGAACTCCCAGCACGGCGGACACACTCTTGTCCCAAGTGAAGACGTTCCAGAATGCAAGTATGGCTTCTGTCTGCTCGATATCGTCAATCGGATTTGAAAGGGTGGTCCTGAATATATCGAACGACATAGACTGCATGTCCGCCGGTGTATCTTCTTCAGGAGAAGAATGAAGTCGAAATGCCAGAACAAGGCTGGCCGCTCCGCCTGAATAGTACTTCGCTTCAACTGTCCGTCCGACCCGGAACAAGTAGTATATAAGCAGGACTTCTGTTTGTAGGACATCCAGCAAATCTCGGGTACTTGCAGTGCAGGAAGGGATGATATCAGCTAGCTGACGCAAACATCTTGATAGCACTGTCAGCTCGAAGGCGGTCTGCTTCGTGTTCGTGACATGGAGACATAACAGAATGATGGCGTTTTGCAATGCAACAGGAATATCACGGGAAGCAGTCACAAGCGTGTTTCGTACGCGCGGGATATGCAGGAAAAAGCCAAGTTCGTCCGCGTAAGGCAAAATTTTATTCAAACTATTTGCAAAAATCACGATAAGTAAACTATATGGATAAACAAACAGGATTACTGGCTTACGATTCGAGTACAATTTGGCTCGGAGGCTCTTCTTGAACCCACCAGCCGCTCGGACTGAAGTCACCCGATGTAATTCGAGAACTAGAACTCGACGCTGAATAATGATGAGACAGTGTGATCATCAACTTGTAAGTACTTACGCGCTCCGGGACTTAATGCAGATGACATTGACGCAGAGATATGGGAAGGCTGGAACCCAAATGGGACAGAAAACCCTTGCGGGACGTCGGACGACGAGTAAGGGTGGTGTAGCGCAACCGCGGGAGTAGTGTTCTCGGGATGCTCGAGCTCTTGTATTCGAGCTTGAAGACGTGAGATTTCTTGTTCCAGCATATTTGTCCGAGACCGTCCCTGGCCATCTGTGTATTCACAGTCGTCGGGCCTGTTACCACGGACGCATTGACTGCACGTTGGTCGGGTACCATCGCACTTCTAACGAGACAAATGAGCGAGTTTCAGATACCACATGTTACATTTACGAACAACTTTTCGACGTCTGCATGCAATGCACGCTTTGCCGCGTTGAAGGCCTCCGAGTGGTTGTAGTGTACTACTTGAACCAGATGTAGTAGTCATTGAAGATATCCGAGGAAGTCCTTGGGGTATCGAAGTTACATTGGCGACGCTTCACGTATCACAGTTTTTATACATTGAGGACGTCATTCGCATGATGGTGTGTCCGGTTCCGCTTGACGGCGGTGACGGAGCTCGGTGACTACCAAGTCTCCTAGCCTTTGCTTGAAAGCAGATAAGGCAGTGCTATCCTGTGTCTGTGCAAGTTTGGAGAATGGTTTGTGAGCAGACGAGCATGTTGACATGATCCAACCGTGAGATGACAAAGATCCAACAGCTTGGCTGATTTTCCTTCCATAACATACCAGAAGTTAGTCGTGTATTGAGCAACAGTCCAACATTGTCTGGTTGCCGTAACCCGTTATGTTTGAACTTGTTCGGGAGTCCCGGTTCATGGGTCCGAACAATTGCCGAGTAACCGACGGGTCTTTTGCTTTACTAACTGAACTGAACGTCCAACTCAGTGTTCATTGAGCGTTGTAACATTGAGCGGGCACTCGCAGGTGCCGCGTGCCCGCAGTTTCATGCACATGGCGGGTAGGCTACTTGCAATATTGCCGGACTTTGTTTCAACACTTCCTAATCATGAAATTTCTAAGTGAACCGAACGCACCTAGTGACAGACTGGAGCATCAGATACTGGCAGTACTACGACCACCGGGTGCCATATTCAATCTGGATGAGTCTTGTCTGGCGAATATACTAGTAGTTGACTACACGTACGTACGTGACCTACACTTCCGAGTCCATCAGCCAGTGGCAGATGAAAAGGTTATCCAGTCTGCAGGTTGGTAAGGCCGTGCAGCACTGCAAGGTGCGAAATTCTGTTGAATCTGTTCTCATGACATAACTGCTGAATGTGATGGTAGTTTTTGCAGTCTTAGATCTTTCTCCTGTTCGATGATTTTCACCTGTAACTGTTTTTCGTCAAATACACACCGTACACAAGTCTACCTTCGTCCATGCTGGTGTCTGGATGCTGCTGGAATATTTCGGCAATAAAACCTTCTCGACTAACTTTCTGTAGGCGTCATGTGATACTGAGTTGTGAGCTCGTTGATTAACCATTTGGTTATCAAAGCTGTTCCAGAAAACTTTGTCGCCACTATGCAGAGCATTACATAATACTTTATGGCAACTTTCCCACACCGCCACTGTTAGTGATTTTGTAAAGCAACAAGGTGATTTGGTCATTCTACACAGGACTAGTGGGGGCTGGGTTAATTGATCAGTATGCTAATCCTCATGCACATGTCGAACATCGATCTGCCCTCACTCTCTCGTATTGCACCACGTGAGCTCTACAATGCATCAAATCAGTCTGCAACAGATTTTTGCACTGATCCCGACTCACAACATTTTCGCGCGCGCCTAGGCCCTACGATAAAGCAGCCGGCGGGAACGACGGACTCTGGCGCGGGTGTGCTTCACACCAGAGCATTCGCGACTGTCATACACGACTTCAAGGGGCGTTCGGCAGGACAGATGGCATGAAACTTCCCGTGACGACGTTTATACACGTTCAGTGACTGGTTGTCAGAACATGTTATCAGTTCGGTTCCCAGGACAGAATGTTCAGCTTCTGATCCTCAAAAGGGTTTCTTTATATGCCAGCAGTTCGTCGGCGTTCTGGATTTTCATATCAATCTCAGTGTAAAGAGGCCCTGAGTCTGACATGGCCGCTGTCGAACGAGATAATACAAATACAGAAGGTAGGGTTGGAGAACAAAAAATTCTTGAGGGGAACTTCGCATTAGACGCCAGTTGTCCGTCGTACGTTGATGAAACATAAGGAAGCACCAGTGGTCCCTGTGGCGGGCGCTAGTGTCCGTCCGAGTCAGGCTCCGAGATTGGGCTCATCACAGAGTACAGACCAGTGCCTATAAGATAAACATGCGAAGGAATGTGATAGATCCGTGGAGTCTAGGAGCGTAGGCTCCGTCGTCCAGCGCTGTTCGATACTACCGCTGATACCGCACGATAAGATTATGTCAGCGTATACTTATTGCTGGTGTAGTGATCCTAAAAAGGCAAAAGCGTGAGAATGGATTAATAGGGTGGACCCTGGTTGAATTTCAAATGGGACACCGCGCACGCCTTCTTGAAGCATAATATCTTTGCCTACACTGCGGATAATATCAAGTGGTCCAAGATTCACGGATCAAATTATGAGGCCGCCTCAGGTTAGAATTGAAATATTGAAATATTGATATGTGGCGCGACCGAGCGCGTGCGGCGAACCATGTCAGTAATTAACAATTCTTCAAGGAACTTTGTATGTGGGAGCAATTGTTCATATCCTTAAAGCTCTCTCACTGATTAGGAATAGCCTGAAGAACTATGGCATATTTTACAGTTCTAAATCCGAAGTTAAAACGCTCATGGCCACTCCAGCTGGTCTGAGAAAGAGATTAACAGTCAAGTACTTGCAGCAACTTAATATTAGAATATCCTGAGGTGCAGCGCGCTATTATCAGACGTGTCGCACTAACCAGATTTACAGCACATATAATGCCGGACCCTGGCCCACCCGTAGGAATGGTAATCACTGGCTGAGTTTCATCACGCATGCCCCAGACGAGAAGTTCTGAAACATCTGATCCGCCGATCCAGTGAAACTCGCGATGAATCGCGATGTATTATTTGCCATTAACTCCCACACGAAAGATGGGACGACATAAATTATTAGTATACAGGAGTTTGATGAATGATTTTTGCACAGGCAAGTCCGAGTCTCGTACAAGTAAGTAAGTGCTTAAAAGCTCGCGCAAATATTCCAGTTGAAGTTCGTTCAAGCATTATGATTATGTCCCATGTAAGTTCCTTTGTCAACCCCAAATATTTTGAACTCATGATTACATTCACTAGCCTTCGAAAAACTCCCTTCAGTCTAAACCACACGGTGATGACCTGACACATGCAATTGCAAAATCTCTATATATACTCCCAACCGATGAACAGGAGCGTAAAAGGTTAGATCATAGCTCGACCTGAATGAAAATTGACACCTCCGTGTATAATAGACTGGAAGTTCAACATGAAGTCCTTCGAAACGCATTCGGGGGCCGTATTGTCTTTGCTCCAATTGAGCTGCACGCAGGAGACAATATACTCGATAGCGGAGCTGGATCAGGTTTGTATTCATCAGAAAATTCTTTGTTCTTTAATCTCACTGTTGGATCACTCATACGTCAGCAACCTGGCTCCTTGACTGCTATAACGCCAACAAGGACGCTACCTTCCGTGGGATCGATTTAAAGACGGATATTTTTCCAGAGCTCGATGATATACAAAAGCAACATATACAGTTGGGGACGGGGAACGTTCTACAGCTACCGAACGGTTGGACCAGCAATTTTCAGCTAGTGAACCAGAGACTCCTTATCGCAGCGTTATCCAAAGAGAATTGGAACACAGCTGTGGAGGAAATTTTCCGTGTCCTTGCTCCAGGAGGCTGGGTGCAGCTCGTCGAAGCTAGTCATTGTGTAGCTGGAGAGGCAACGCAAAGGCACTTTTCGATGCTTCAGGACCTCTTTGTTAAAAGAGGTCTATTGCTCAATTGTGTCGAGCATATTCCGAATATCCTCAAAAGCGCCGGGTTTGACAAAATCACGACACAGCGTCTTGAAATTAGCCTTGGAGGTGGGGACGACGAGGACGAGATGAAAGCTAAAGCTCGAGAGAGTTTCATTGGTGTCTACAAGGGAATGCAAACTCCGGTAGTAAGGATGGGGATTCGAACAGAGGGTGAATTTATAGAGTTGGTGGAAGATCTAGAAATGGAATGGGAGAGCAACGCTCAGTCAAAGGTTATCTTCTACGCTTTTACCGCCCAGAAACCGACCGTGTCGGTTTGAGCAGCAGGCCATTTTGTACACATCAATACATAGTAGAACGCGTCAGATATAATGATCAGACGCGTTGTTAAAAGACCACACACCACGAAAGTATCGATTGTCAAGGATGCGAACAAAATGAATCGTCACATTAAAGTCCAACGGTGTGAAATAAAGGCTTTACGTCTGAGCCATGTTAGTTTTTGATCCCTTGTTTATTGTTCGGTGGAGCGAAGACCAATGCTGGACAATACGTACATGTAAAGCTCTGGCGATTGATTTGTGTACAGCCGTGATAGTGGGGCTGAGGACGACATCACGCGTTATCTGATGAATTGAGTTGGGCAAACGGGATATATAGATTCATTCTTCTGATGACCAGGCAGTCGCACACATGCGCTGGCTCGATCTGTAGTTCTGGATAAAACGAATTCATACCGATTAAGAGAGCCAGCACAAGGTCACGTCATCTTGAATTCAAGAACAAGTGTTGAAGGGATTGTTTGAACGCGACTATCAGATAATGTTGCAATTGCAGTATGTGTGCACTGCGGTGGTAGTCTCTTGATCTGACAGTTTTAGTCCATGTACCTGGAAGAGCGCCTTCAGAATTCGAAACCCGAAAACAATAATGAAGGCGTAGAACACTAGTTTATGGCGAATTGTCAGTGATATTCTCAACATTCATTTATATTGTGAGGACACTCACATAGAATACTGACGTTCTCGTGTGGGATACAAATGTGTCTGGTAGCCTTATTACAGAATTGTGATCGTGACCTCGTCCATTGTATAGTCGGCCAGCAAGCTCACCAATAATTGATAAGCATTTGCATACCACTTGCGACTCATCGCAATACTTAGCGCATATGTAAAGTCAGTGTGACTCATGCCACGCCCTTGAAACTTCGTGGGCTGTTTGTTTTTGCGGTTCGATGACTGATGAGGATGAATAATCAATCGTAGAAGGCTGTTGCGTTTACTTACATTGAAATAACTTATGATGCCTAAAGATAAAAGCCCGCAGTAACTTGACGACCTTCCGTCTGCGGTGGGCCCGGGGTGCGTCGTCTTTCAAAGGCTCTATTCGCTACAGAGCATCATGCTGACTCGGATATGTTCAGATTTTCAGTGTCCGCTTGGTATCCGATATCAAGATCTGAGAGTCAGATCGCCGAGTCTGTAAATGAAAATAATGTATTAAATTTATGTAAGCAGCTTGAATTCGACGTTTCCATCAAACTCACTTTCTGAGTCTTTCTCCCATTTGCAAGATTATTGTCATCATCGAAATTTTAATCCCCGTTCGGTTGTATTGGAACCAATGAAGATTTGCAGTGAGTGCAAGATCAGTAAGGTTTCTAGCCCAACCTCCATCAGATGGTGTATATATACCTTTTGGCAAAATTTTCTCAATGACAATCGAACTACTGACCAGGATGAGCCACCGTGAATTAGACAACCTTCAAACCTCCCTAAACAATGCGCTAAACAGTTTGCGCGTCGCGATGGACAGCTCAATGTTGCCGCCTTTGTCTTCACAGTATGGAATCGACATGCACCCTTTGGATGGCCTAGACCAGCCCACACCAGTTGGTGTATACGAAGCCCGCCGAGCAGCACTAGGTATGTTCGAATGCGACAGGATCCCAAGGGCTACGTACTGATTCTGCCCTTCTAGCATGTGTTGTAAGTTCACATTCTACGTGTTCCTGCTGTGAGATATGCAAATTTATTTATTCAGGCAGAGCTCAAGAATCTTCTGCAACATCCTTTTGAGAAAGCCGCTGAGAGCGCCTTTTCCATGTATGATTTTGCTTCCGTTCAAGTCTTTGTTGAGCATGGTATTGTGGACCGCATGGCAAAGGAGCCGTCTGGTATCTCCGCCAAAACTCTCCAGTCAGAACTGAACCTCGACTCCCATAAGCTCACCACTGTATTACGCCATCTCTCGGCTTGTGGATGGATTCGAGAGATTCAGGATGGAATTTTTGCCATGAATCGCTCCGCTCGCATTTTACTACAAGACCAAAGAGGTCGTGCATTGATATCGTAGGATTTTCTTGCATACCGGCTTTGCACGATTAACCTTGTTATAGGGTTCCCGGCAACATGAGGATCGCAGAGGCTCTTCCTCGATGGCTCACGTATCCCGAATTCAGGTTCTCTCAGTCTCCAGAACATACCGCATTTCAACTCGCGAACGATACTACAAAGCCCTTCTTCGAATGGGTGAAAGATGATAGGAATTATCTCGGTCGGTTTGCAGCGTGTGTCGAGGTTTGAATCATCTGCCTGACTGGCAATACTATACTTATATTCTTAGGCACTCGGCGAATATGTAACCCCAGGAATATTATCGGACTACCCATGGCAAACGTGCTTGGAATCGACTATTGTTGACTGCGGGGGAGGTAAAGGAAGCCTAGCTATTGCCCTCGCCAACAAGTCAGTGCAAAACTGTCAAGAAGCAACACAACTGACATATAGTATCAAGATTTCCTGCCCTCCGTCTTGTTATCCAGGAGAGGGGGGAGATGGTCGAGCTTGCTGAAGCTAACATCAAGGCCCATTTAGATCCCAACTTAGTTTGTGGTACAGTAGTCGCTGAAGCCCACGACTTGTTCTCTGCTCAACCACGCACTGGGGATAATTATACCTTCATGTTACGACATGTTCTGTACGCTGTACCTTCTTCATGATTCTTTATTATCCACTGACGTTTTTCAACAGACACAACTGGCCCGAGACTCAAGCTGTAAGTTTCTTTTATCATCGATGTCAAGTCTTAGTTGACGTTTCCAGGTGAACGTCCTAGAAAAACTCGCTGTTGCTGCAGGACCAAAGGTTCGTCCTTGACATCATTTTGTAGTTCCGAGAGCACGTTCAAATGTCTTTCCAGTCCAAGATCCTGATCATTGAGAGAATTTCTGGGCACTATCCCGACACTCATGTCCAGTTTGAACATGACCCAGCGAACACAATGGATTTTACACCTTCTCCTTCCCTCATAACCGAGCAAACTCTTCTCAATTCCTCGTCTCGCATGCCGCAGGCACTTGCCTTGCATCTCTTGTGTATCTTGAATTGTCACGAAAGAACATTGGTGCGGCCTGCCTCGGCTTAGCATGAACTTTGCTCACCTTTCTTTCAGGATCAATGGCGTACTATAATATCCCGGGCCGGTCTTGTCGTCACAGGACTGTACAAGCTTAGGGCTTACGTATCTATCATGGAGTGTCGCGTTATTCACACAGATGAGAGTTGAGATGACCTATGACATGTCTATATTGATAGCTTGTTATTTACGTCTAGGTATTCTAGAGTGCTCTAAGCTAGGTCTAGAATGCTCCGACCAGATCCAGATCTGCTTTGATTAAAATCTTGCAAGAGATAAAAAGTTGAGACCCCCAATGTCTTATCGAGTGGCGCGTATCAGAGTGTAAAGCTAGGACGGCACCGCCCGGACCGGCCGGCGATATACCTTCAAAGCTTAGACTGACAAGCATAGCCAAACGCTCTCTTCCTAAGCTTTCTTGTGGCCTGTACTTTGGTTCACACGATGCTTTCGTTTGCATCAGTGACCCCATGTTGGACGTGTTTCATCATATGCAGCTTTCCTTCATTCGCGCGACTCGGAAACCTGTTTTCTACGTGTCTGTGCATGCTTGGAACAATCAATCGTTGATCCACCGACGCTGTCACGCATAATCCGCAGTGTCCGCTACCCAGCCTGTCGCAAGATCCGGATATGGATTAGTGACTCTGGTCAACAGTGGCCACTGAGGTGAGCTGCGCCGTGGAAGATAACGACTTGGATAATTCAACCTATGCGAACGTTATTCGTGTGTTTGATGGTCCCTCTCCTGCAACAACCACACCCATCTGTGCGCTTGTCTAGGTAGTAGTAGTATATACGACTTCCAGTGGAAATCCTCAGTCAGATCGCCCACGTCGTGCCAATGACTAATTTAGCAGCCTTCCAAGTCCATTGGCAGACTATGCAGTCGTTCCTTCAGTACTTCATGTTGTTGATCTTGGTCCTGGATTAAATTGCAAAAGAGACAAGGTTGCAACATGAACTGGAAATGCATTGCACGCTCCGCTACAGTTGCCTGGTCACCGGTCTAGCCTATAAGTGCCTGAGTCTTTCCGAGGTCAAAAACAAGATGACTGATTGAGGCGTGAGTATGAAGGTTGAATATACGCTACTTTCAAGGGGTGATATGTCGTCGTCGCCAGAGTCACAGCCAACGTGCAAACTATAGTTCGTTGAATGCCAAGTTGACTCGACGTTTAAATTTCATACAAGAGGTTCAAAAATCTAGACTGCCCTGAGAGCCTGGAATTTCAAGCTCTACAAGTTCACGGTAATTCTACTATCAGCTAACATTGATCCTCTATGTGGATGGATTCTATCTAAGTCAGAGAATAAGTGATATGTCAATCACAGCTCCGCATGGCTAGTTACCAAACCCAATTTGCCTCGTTTTAAAACAGCTTTGAAACCAAAGTGTTCCTCCACACCAAAGTTCTCCGTTGGGTTGTACATCGCATGGATGGGCTTTCGGGCGTTGATCTCGCTCAAAACAATCTTAGCTTCATCATCAGTATCTCCGAGCAAGCGATCGATGTCGCTCTCTGACATGACGGGTGCGTCTGGGGATGTCAGAGAAGGATCTAATCTATTCAAAGTTTAGTATGAGATACTTTGATCGACTAGATGATGGTCCCTTACCTAGCTTGGACCGCAGAATGCATTTCGGGATCAGTTGGTGCGAATAGATTACGACAAAAGTCCATAGTTTTCTGTCAATCGGATTGAGAATCTTGTGGAAGATGACCACAGAACATACGTACCTGGAGTTCGTCTTCTGTCAAGGTCTTACCAACATCTGCTGTTCCTTGTATCACTGTACTCGAGTATCAGTATTTGCAATGATGAAAAAAAAACATAAATTCCCACCCGGTCTGATGAGGTCAAAGGCTCTGTCAAAATTGTCCTCATCTACATCACTCATCACCGACATAGCTTGATTTCGGATCTGTTTATAGGTGCCCAGGACGACAAGAAGAAACCTACAATATATATTACGTTAGAACTTAGTCGCTATTACTCCAGGAACCAAATTCACATACCTCGTGTAAGAGGTGGCAATCTTTGAGGTGTGCCAACGTTGGGCATTCTCTTCGCTGCAGAGTCCTCGAATCGATGCAGCAATCGTGAGAGCAGCCGAAAGTCCTCCTGTGAAAGCCAAATGTACGCCAGAGGAGAAGAACGGATCGATGAATGCTTATTACTTGTCAATTGCGAGTGCCATAAAATGTCAAGAAAAATACCTCCAGCATCCCCCGCCAGTCGAAAATGATCCCCTGCATAAGAGGGGGCCGAGTAGCTAAAATCGCTTGCAGATTTCACCGCTTCCGGTGTGCCATCGTTTCGAAGGGTGGCATTTCCTATCAATTTGAGAACTCCAGGTGCCTTGCTTAAAAGTTCTTCCTTATAATGAGCCAGAAGATTTGAGCCGGATCCTCCTGCAGCCGCACGGGAAGCCTTTTTCTTACGATTGCTTGACTCTTGATCCATCACAATTCCCACAGATGTGGATCCATCGTGAAGGGGAATGAACCAAGCCCATCCAGATTCATCTACAGACTATAAGCTTACTCAAGTCCGTCAAGTTGTTTTCATACCTTCAAGTGCTTGAACAAAGATAGCATTCTGGCGAGCGGTACCCGGCATGTAAGACTCGGTCCCTTCCCAGTATCCCCAGCATGCAACATTGTTGAGAGCTTGGTTAACGCGTCTGTTCTTGAGATACTTTGTGGACATGATCCCGTTCTTTCCTGAAGCATCGATTAGGTAGCTGAAAAAGATACGGCCCCCCGTTCCAGTGCTGGCATTCCTCCAATTGGCTGAAACAGGTCTTTCGCCCTCGAACTGAAATTCAGTAACTCTTGTGTCATCGAACACATTTGCTCCACTCTTCGAAGCATGACGAAGTAGCAAATCGTCAAATTCCGAACGAATCTGCAAAACGATGAAACGGCAAGCACATCTCCAATATATTACATACCACGTTCCAAGACCCATTGTCTGGGTTCAGCGCAACAAAATCGGTGTCTGGAATAAAAAAATAATACTAGTATGACGATGCATGAGGGCAGCTGTGCTCACATCCTTCTCGCTTGAACTGGTTCAACTTGACTGCAGCACCAGGCTATAAGAGGGTGACCGTCTTAGGCTAAGTACTCCGACGCATGAAAGACTACCCAAACCTTCACTATAAATCCATGATTCTTGATGGTTTCCTCCGCATCAATAAATGACAAGAAGGGGCGGACTGACGGGAGCAAGCTCTCGCCAATGTGATATCTGGTGCAACTGTGTTTTAGTGATTCCGTATACTGATGTCATGTATGATATGCGCTGACCGAGGGAACTTTGCAGCTTCGAGAAGAGTGACTTCAAAGCCTTCTCGAACTAAAGCAGCAGCTGCGTAGCTTCCGGCGGGTCCGCCGCCGACAACAAGTATTTGAGTTGAAGTCGGCTAGGTAGTATCTTAGCCAAGTTCATTGTAGCAGAAGAATTGATATCAGCCACTTACAAGTGTTTTAATGGCCATTTCTGTGAAGGGGATTGTATGAAAGGGGGCGCCGCTATACCTTATATATAACATGACATCCACTAAAACTCTGTATCGTGAATAAAATCAACCGGACTAAGCTGGCACTGCGCGTGGATTAGGCGGTCCTGTCCAAAATCATTGGATCAGAATTGATGAATATAGCGACTTGAATTTAGAGCTTACCGCCATCTCTAAGCTCGAGACTGACAACGCGCGCAGCGCGTTTGTATAAATCAAGTAAAGTTAAAAAAAACCTGAGTTGATGTGTTGCACGTATTATTACATAATATTCGGTGTCCAAACTCTAATTCTTTAATTAGATGGTACTACGAGCAGGGCACTAAATTGGTCCCCATCGCACGACTTCCAGGTCTAACCTTCGTCAGAGCAAACCATGGGCAATACTGAGCACATTAATAGACACACATGGCATTATGCAGGTATGAAATCAATTCGCTTTGTCCGGGTATTACTGCGCATGTCATTGCCGCGAGGGCGGCTAGATCTGTATCCTGTTTCACAGTCCTTGTACGTATTATACATGAGATTGCTAGCAGAGTTAACCTTTCAAAGTTGCATCCGCGACCTCCACTAGAACCTGTCAGGCTTCATCAGGAACAGATAACCGTGGGTATCGGATATTAGCCTCGGATTCAGATCCATGATGGAGGAGAATCAAAGTGGAGTAAAAGCGATCATCCAACCAAAACATGCGCTTTGTAGGCACACTTACACGTACTATTTAGTACTCAGCACGAGTTCGAACTTTAGGCCACCGGCACTCCGTGTTTATAGTTGTGCTAGCAGAATTAGAATCCTTAGGGGACCAGACCAAGTATTAGTATAAGTAACTTCAATGGGAATACATTGACTTGCTGGAAAATATGCATCTCGTCGTATCACATCGTTTTGAAACGTATCAAAATCAAGGACGGGGTTTTCGGCGAGAGCGTTTGCCGCATCTAGCGGGTTCGAGTTCCGCAACTTTGCTACTGGTATTATAGGGATGTTGACGCCAAAGTCAAGACACCGGAACTTAGCTCCGAGGGTTTTGTTTACTGTCCTTGAATTTCTAAGGGTCAAATAGCCCGTACGCGTGCGGGGTCTGCCCCAGATTGGCCTATACATAATCGGACGTACTGCCGCGTGTATGTGGCCCATCATAATCATGCAGAACGTGCTCTTAGCCCAGTCAGCAAGTGATCAGACAGGTTAAATGACCAATAGGCATAGCAGGCCAGATGTAGTGGATCTGAAAACCCGGTGTGGTGATAACTAGCCTGAGCGCGAAACCTAGCAGCCCTACTTGAACGCTTTGAGCCCTTCACTGAGCACCAGCAGGCAAGTAATACCAAGCCACTGCATTGGAACCAGACGACTAGATTACAAGCACGTTAAAACATGATAAGTATAGTCTGAGCGGCATCTGAGGCAGAGTAGTGCACGAGTGCACGATAAAAAGGAGCACGCACAAGAATAGAAATCATGTAAGATACCAGAAACGAACGACGCGATTTTTTGCCTGACGACGGCTTGAAGAGGAGTGGACGTTTGCTCTTGAAACGCAAGCCCCAGGATTGTTGTATTTCTTAGCGTCTGGTCCGTCCAGATGCTTTAAAACCGCTTTTTCCTCGAGCGTCAGTGACAAGCCTTCCGTTATCGACTGCCAGTTGACTGACCTTGAGTCGCTCGAGCACTTTGCTCATCTGCAATAGAGCCAGGAAGCTGACTGCTCAGAAGCTGTCAGGCTGTCTTTGGGTAGTAGGAACAAGTGGTACTCCATTTCGTATCGCATCCGAGGAGCTGGCCGACCGATTCATGGTTACAAAGGTAGAGTCCAGTAGTAACTTCGAGTTCAAGCTCCGTCAGGTGCCAGTGCACACGTGATCACGTTCTTTTCGTTGAGGACAAAATTTGAAGCACTTTGCGCACGCTGCAGTCACTCATAAGCTCGTACTAAGGTTCCGCCAAGTGTGCTGGGGATACATGAGGTCGGCGACCCACCGGCTCCTGCTTTGGGGCATGGAATTCGCAAATTTGGTGACGAAGTTGCAAGAAGTTCACAGGACTTGTGTAGGCTTTGTCCTCAGGCTCCGGGTCAGTCACGCTCACAGCTATTCGCGTTATGCATTTCCTCCATCTTGGACTGAATGGAAAGAAGACTCTGAATATCAGGCTGTCCTGCACTGCTGTCGGATACACTTTCGTCAAACCGATTCGCGGGGAGAAGCACCAGCACGTACCTCAATGCATTACCGCTGCCGGTTGTATCATTGCCTTGTTAATCATCGCTTTCCACCGGCCCCAGTGGTATCAGCGTGATACAAGAAAAGCCCCTGTTAAACACCGTGAGCTGCAGCCTGCATGACTTAAATATAAATGCCGAAGGGTGGATTATTGCTGTCTTCTGACTACTTTTGTCACAGTTGTTCTTGCAGCCAGTCTAATACCATGCGAGAAATGCATGCTTGGGCTGTGATGAACTGCAAGACTGAGCATGCATTTCAGTGCTCTGAGTGGCACGGTCTGTTTAATCTCAGATCTCGCCGGAGCCTCGTGTCATAACGTGACGTTCCCTCCTAGTACAGTTCTACGCCGACCGCACTTATATAAGGACTCGTGTCGCCTTCTATACGCTTCTTCATATTCCACTTCTACTAGTTGCGCCATTCACCCCGGTTGTCTATTGTAATGTCTGATTCTGACTATGGGCAACCTCGACTCGGTATTGATACGAGCTTCTCACGTTCCCCCAGTACTACTCGGGATTTTCTTGCGGAGCCAATGCCCAGGGATAGATATTCTAGGGCAAGCCATACATCGCGTGTTCGAGATGTTACATGGATTTCGGCCTCTCAGCCATCCCAATACCCCGGAACCCAAACCCCTCAGACGCCTCACTGGCAGCACTCCACTCCTATCATGCGTCCAGCACCTCATACAGCACAACCCACACTATCAGATACTGAGTACGAGTACATGACTGTTGGCATTGACGATACAGGTGCTGATGAGGAGAATGGATATGGGTCATCAGAGGGACATGAGAGAAAGCCTCAGGGGAAGAAGAAGTTTTACGGCGGGTTTATGAATGGGTTGAAAAGTATACCGAGAGTCATGTCGAGAGGACGTTTGAATTCAAAGGATCATGCCAAGCCTGCCAAGCATGGGACCACAATACCTCCGTACCAACCAAATCCTCAAGCTCCAGGGGTCTCGCTCATACACCGGCAAGTGCTAGCAAATAATGTGCCTCAGGTCGAAAGACTTGACACACCTCCGTCCGACATGCTATCTCCCTCAAAGCCAAACATTCTCCTTGATACTGATACACGCACATCCATTGCGGATACAAGGCGTGACCGAACATTGTCGGCTGTCAATGAGTTGTACGAGCCTAGTCGCTCGCACAGTCATGATGATTTTTTCCACCGCGATACCTTGAACACCTCCCATCCATTCCACCATTCTACCGATGCGATTTCCACTCTCCATCCCTTCAACCGCTCCGTTGAAGCGATTTCCATTCCTCATACCATTCATCTTTCGACCCAAGCCACTGCGACTCCCGTCCTTGTGGAGCCTCGGCCTGCAGAGGACTTTGCAAAGATGGAGTCTCCCATCCGCCCCCCACCGGAGGAATCCATTGCCTCGCAAGTGGCGCGTGTTCGGCGATTCATGCGGGACCTTGGCGGCCTTCCATGGATCTCCCCAGCTCGTATCTCAAGTGATTATGTTCCCGGGCAGGGTAATCGGCGGAGGAATAGTCGTCAGAGGTACTCCAGAGCATCAAAGAGTTGGTACACTCCGCGAAACAAGGGAACATTGGACTTGCTTTCAGGTCCATCAACTCCTTTATCTACAGGCCGTATTCCACATCATGTTCAGAACTCGCCTGCTCCAGCTCCAAGACCGTATGTCATGAGCCCGAGCACTGCAAACCTCATGTTCTCTAGACAATTATCTGGTGGGAGGTCCAGATCGCCCTCTTCAGATGGTGCTCCGTCGTCAGACAGTACCAGCAACCCACCATACTCCGGGCCATTATACCCAGCGTATGTGGCCCAGCCGTTATTTGTGTACCCTTCCGGGATTCCGTCCCCTGGGAGTGGCCTAGAGACGCAGCCGCGACCGGTGTTTTTCACCACACCTGTTTCACCGCCATTTGCGTCTCCTGAAAGGTCACGGTCGCCTCTGCGGCACAATGGAACCCCAAGGACACCTGTGTTGTGATGGACCCTGGTTTTCATATCTCGACCTCATGTGCCACGGTCGCCCAAAATACACATCAGAGGTCCTTAGGGATTTTCGAGTGTGTACTCTTTCATCCCTTGGATCGCACCGCGCAATAGCAGGGCATCGATTGTAGTACGATCTCTCATCGTTGATGTGTTCGAGTGCAGCTCGAGTCTTGATGATGCTGAATATGATCATTCAATGACACGGTTCTCAACGGAAATTCAGCAGCAACCGGCAAACATTTACTACTCATCCACAGCGATCCAGTGACTTCATTAGTCTGGGTCTCTAGACAGTTGACGTATCTCTGTATGTTACAAGTGACCGTATAAGTGTATCTGCCGGTTCAATTGGTCTGTCAAGTGATGACATTACGAATCAAGAACACATCCAACAACCACTTCCTAATTGTTGTCCTCGATTTCTAAATCCTCGCTCGTTGTATGTAGAAGACAATTAAACAGTAGGTAGTTCCCAGCAGCGGCCTATGTGTACTGTCTGTCACAATTGTGTTCCCAAAACTGGTACGGCACTAATATGGAGCAGCCTAGCCAGCCCTTGAAGCTTGAGCAACTGTCACATGTGGCCGCGTCTAGGGAGTAGGTTTGAACAAACAGGCAAGTACTCGGGCCGAATAAGTTTCGGGCATGTTCCGATCAGAGTGATGTAATCACAATAAAGCTGAAGTCCCATCGTAGCTACATACATGACGAAGTACTTGATGGCATAGCCTCTTTTTACTGGTGGCACCTCTTAGATGATCCAGAATAGTTTTATGCTGGGTCTGACTGGGTAAGTCAGGTGATGATTCAATAAGGTCGTCTAACTTGAAAATAATTTTCAAGTGAGACGAAAGTTGAAATATATGAAACGGGGATCAGGATCGAGCTGGAGAGTGGAACCACTTCCTTCAGTCATAAAGGCAATTCGTGAGTTATCAAAGATGTCAGCTCTGTACACAATATTCAGTTTCTTTCCAGATCCCCACTGGCAGAACTCTAAACATGGCCTCTTTGAAGTATACCCCGAAGCAACATATCACAGAGGTTTTCCATCAGTCATATGGCACTCATCATAAACGCTGATATTCCCTGTAGATTCACACCAGGTTGTCGAAGACCTTCCGTGAGGGTCGCATTCTTCCGTTGGAATACCGCCGCAAGCAACTTCTCCAGGTTGCCCGCCTTATCCAGGAAAATTCCGATTCTATCATGGCCTCCCTGAAAGCTGATCTTGGGAGGCACCCTTTTGAGGCAATCCTCCCTGAACTAGGTCCAATGGTTTCAAGTGCCCTTCATGCTGTCGAGAATCTTGATAAGTGGAATTCTCCTGAGAAACCGCAAGTAGAAGCTTGGCGCAGTGGGTGGGACACAACCATCTTCAAGGCACCTAAGGGCGCAGTGCTCATTATCAGGCAAGTCGTTATCATCCAACCAGGTTGTCTTGACGGCATGTTAACAATCTACCCCTAGTCCCTGGAACTTTCCATGGGTGCTTACGATTTTGCCCCTCATTGGCGCAATTGCTGCGGGCTGCACGTGCTTGATCAAACCTTCAGAGCATGCCAAAGCTTCTGCAGCCCTCATGGCGAAACTGATTCTACAATACCTTGATCCAGATGCCTATGCCGTCTGTCTCGGAGCCATCGAAGAGACCACCTACGTCCTTAGTCTGAAATGGGACCACATCTTTTACACGGGCAGTACGAGCGTCGGACGAATCATTGCAGAGGCGGCAGCAAAGCAGCTCACGCCAGTGACTCTCGAGCTCGGCGGACAATCACCCGTCTTCGTCGATGGGGACAGCACGAACATTGAGATTGCTGCGAGGAGGATTCTATGGGGGAAGCAACAGAATGCAGGACAGGTAAAGTCTATCCTATGGCTCTCAAGATTACCAAAATAATCGTACTCTTATGGCAGGTTTGTATCGCACCGAATCATGTTTTTGTGCAGGAACAACACGAAAGCGCACTCGTGGAGGCATTCAAGAAAGCGTATGACTCGTTCTGGCCAAAGGGTCCGCTTGACTCCTCTTCTGAGATGGCTCCCGTGGTGAACACTCAGCACTACCAACGTGACAAGAGTCTCCTATCCCGAACTAAAGGAAAGGTCGTGATCGGAGGACAAGCTGGGCAGGATCTCCGCATTGAGCCAGCAATTGTTACCGGCGTAAAGTTGGACGACCCATTGATGGAAGAGTCAGTCGAGCTCGTACCCTTCTGAGCGCCATCTAGCTGACTGTTCAAACCGTGATTGAAGAGAGATATTTGGTCCTATATTACCAATCATTCCAGTAGCAAATGTTGACGCCGCCATCTCACACATACAATCTGGGTGAGTCTTTTGAAGGCTGCCTATTAGTAAAAACGTTCATCCTCTATAGTTCCACTCCCCTCGTCATTTACGTCTTCACGGAAAAGGAGGAGACGAAAAACAAATGTAGGGATCACCTTCCACGTATATCATGCATGTTGATCAACTGTGTTCCAAAGTCGTGCAGCGCACCCAGAGCGGGCAGCTAATTCTCAATGAAACCTTCGCTCAGGTTGCTGTCTATGAAATTCCTTTCGGTGGTCAAGGGCAATCTGGCTGTATGTTGCATTCCGCGTGTCACTGAGAGAAGTGCTTAGCATACATTCATTGCAGATGGATCATACCTTGGGAAGTACTCCTTCGACACCTTCACCCATCAAAGGGGCTATATAAATGTCCCTGCAGACGCGAGGTGGGTGTGAGGCTGTCCATGTCGAACTTACCTGACTAACGCCGGACATCCTGAAGGACGGAGGGCTTGTTGCAGGGAAGATACCCTCCTTACTCAGCGCCTGCACTTGAGTTCTTCTCCCAGGCGCTCAAAGCGAAAATTCCCGACGCGTAATCCCTCATTCGTGGTTGGAATCAATCATGTCGACGTGTTTAAGTTATCATCTTTAGGGTAACGCGAAGAGAGAAATTACCAAACCAAGCGAGTAGTTCAATTGGTCGTAGGCCTCAATAATCGTGAGTAGCTGCTGTCCTACATATACGAGTGGGACTCCTAACTCCGAAGGCAGATTTAGTCTGTTTATATGACACTTTCGAGCATTTGAGTGTGGTATTCGTTTGGTCACACTACTAAACACTACAGATTTATTCCGACATGGTTCGTTAAGCACGGCACAGCAGTCGACTCGACTCTCGAGGCTCCATTCTTCGCGAAGGTCACTCGTTAACTTGTTACATTACCGATCGCAGGCCAAGCATTTTTCTTATTTTTACATGTTTCTTAGTCATTGGTCTTGTAATATGACGTTGCATATAGAATGAGATCTGATATTCTCCCCATCCAGCATTGAGCAAATGGTATGCAAAATCTGCTTCCAAGCTACGCTCAGATTGGCAACAGTCTCAAGCACACTCCCGCTGGCCAACGGCCGCCGCTACCCCAAGTGGATTTCAGACATCACTATTAGCATAGCGCCGAACAAGAAGGATGCAATCAGGGAACAGGAAGCCGCAAGCGAGACCCTACGTGTCTATTCAGATGGATCAGCAGTGGGCGGAGGAGTGGGCGGAGCAGCGGTTTTGATGAAGGGAAAGAAAATGATCAAAGAGCGAAGATTTTACTTAGGAGGCTATGAAGAGCACACGACACATGAGGCAGAGTTAGTCGGAATTATCCTAGCGCTCCAGCTACTGAAGGAAGCAGGAGGACAAGGCACGATGGCATTAGGGGTAGACAACCAGGCGGCAATCAGGAGCATAGGAAGCCTTCCAATCCCAACCCGGTCACTACGTCCGAGTCATCAATATACTCCGTAACGCCCTCAAGGAGCTGCTGCCTATCGAAGACAGGAGGAAGCTAACCGTCAGATGGACGCCAGGTCACGGAGGGATAGCGGGAAATATAGCGGCAGACGTACAGGCAAAGAAGGCAGCGAGAGGCGAAGTATCAGCTGGCAACATGCTACCCAGGTCACTCCGAACAAGAAAGAATGTCCCCATTAAACTACCTTTCAGCAAATCAGCAAGTTTGTAACCAAGCAATGCTCTCATGGCCAGTTAAAGAGCTCGAGCGAAGCAGCATCGATCATGTGAGACTCCCCGCACGTACCTCATGTTTCAAACCCACGAACTCAAAACTCGATCAATCAATTGTAACTCTTTGACATTCGCCCTCAGTTTATGTAATGGCATTTCCATTATCACATTTTACCTGAACCATTATGATAAAATACTAGTAGTCACCATGTATAAGCCAGGATGTAACAAATACGACCATATCGTAGGTGTCCACTAAAGGGTTTCGCACCAACGGACAATAAACAAGAATACAAGTAAATAGGATTGAGGTCGATGAAGTACTGGACAATCAGAAAGAGCTATGAAAGGTATTAGGAAGTCAGTGGCTGTTGCTGGCGGGTTGAGCTCAGAGGTTCAACGTTCAACGTTCAGATTCGAATGTCGTCGCAGTTCGAATCTGACTGTTGTTGGACTTGGGCAGCTCCATTTTAGTTGGTGGTGACATCAGTGTACGAGGTGGTAGCAAAACCGATGCGGGATCTGGAGGAATCAAGCACAGTCAAGAAGCGCTCGGTGAATAGGTAGCCATTGATAAATTCATAACCTGTGCCACTGGGCATACCGATGTCGGCAACGACGAGATAGATGGCACTGCTACTACCGCCAATGTAGGTGTTAAGAACACGAGGCCAGATTTGGGCGTTAGGCGTGAGAGAGAAAGTTTCCTGTACAAATGATAAACAAGGGATACGAGGGCTGACAGGAATGACGTACGCCAGCAATATTGAAGTTCAGGTTCTCGAGGGCTGCGTACTGGGCAGAGGAAATGAGGAGAAGACTAGCAGCCGCATCTAGAGTACCGCCGGTTGCAGACTGGTAGGTCATCTATCAAACGCTGATTAGACGATGATGGCTTGCTGCAATGTAGATACATACAGGTGGGAATATGAATTAAGGAGGTTCCAACATCGACGATACCCGCAGAGGACATGATCATCGAGGAGCCGTAGGAAATGCTCTGTTCGAAACACCAGTAGTTCAATGAAGGATGATAACTGGCGATAGGACTGAAACAAAACGATCATTATCAGCCTGGATTGAGCTAGGAGTTGAGGTAGCTTACGTGTACGTAATGGGACCGGCGTGCTCTGGCTCTCCATTGACGGTTTCCTGTGTGAATTGACGAGCTCGAAATAGATACTGACAATCTCGCGATGAATGGTGCCTTGGCTATGCAGATTGTTATTGATAGTCGGGATCGTCCTTCCGCTTTCATTTGGCAGGGAACCCTTTGTCAAGCCTACAGGCCCGAGGCCAAGGATACCGTCTGCGTTGCCCCAGTTGCCCTTCGTATCATGAGCGACACCAATTGACTGTTGAGCGATGATGAGCCCATTACCGAGATCGACAGTGTCGATGTACTCATCCTACAAAAAATCTTGAGCATTTTCGACAGTTCATGATATATTTGTGTGTCATACCAGAGAAGGAACCAACATAGTAGGAGACAGCGACAAGTAGGTCAATGGTTTTTAAAATTTTGATCCAAGATGGCAGGAATTTACTATTTGCGTGTTTACTCATGGTTCATTGACTCAGAGATGCTCACTTACCAAGAATACACCTCAGAAAAACGTTAGCGTCAGGAGTTGGTGTAGCAAGCGTTGCTGACTGGAGAGCAGTTGTCCCGGGCCCGGCTGTACAGTCACGGTATCGATATCAACATGCAATTTTGTTCCATGCCAGCAGAGTTGGGTGTATTCATGTAGTTTGCATATCCTATAGCAGCTAGCGCTGATCATAGGCATATGAAGCGAAGATTCTTTGTGACAATTCAAATTGGAGGTACCAAGGTGTTAATCGTGTATCGGACAGAGCACTGACCGAGCACAGATTATTGTAGGATACAGCAGGCCGAAGGGGATAAGCTGTGACAACAAAGAAAAGAATTGTATAATGATCAGTGATATTCTACCGATCCTAGAATCAATGGGTCACCAGGACAACAATACGAATGGTCACGGTGAACGTGTGTCGAGCAGCCACGCAATGAGCACACACCAGGGAGATGATACGCGAGCTGCGAATGACGAAAGAGACAGGGCTGGTCAGGGGTGGGTTTGATGCAACGAGAGTGCAACTTGAATACGAATACGTTACTAAGATATTTGAATGGTAGCAGGATCAACAACCAGTAGGTTGTGACAGTGACTATAACAGACATGATATAAAGGTGAAAAATGATCACATGACCCGTCCTGGGACTGACCCTAACCGGGAGTAATCCTATTCATTATGATCATCGAACATTCAATTCCAAAGAGACAGTAAACACCATTTCTTTGCGAAGTCGATACAAAGCATAACGCATAAATTTGTTCCTACTTATAATGTGTATCTGAAGTCAGGCGCACGATCTCCTAACTCCCGCAATTCCTGGTGGGAATATTGCACTTTCTCCCCTTCTCTCGCGAGGCGTTCGGCAGCGTCACGCTTGGCGTTGATCCTCCTGTATGTGAACACCAAAATCGGCAAAAAGGTGAATCCGATCCCGACAAACATGAGTTCAAATGCATCTGAAAGAAGGGTCAGCACACGATCCTTGCGTCAACGAAGTTAAACTTACGCCCAAATATGAACCGAGGTGCGTCTTGCGATCTATAGATGGTGGCTGCAACTATAGCACTGAGGTTTCCGATGGACATTTCAAGGGCCATGCCAATACCCCTCTTGTACTGACCGGAAAGATTGTTTCCGAGCCTTAATTACCGTATGTCAGCCTTAGTCATGACGCGACTGAATGATATACCAAGAAATGACACCAGGCAACGATGCATAGCTTCCCATGACAATGACGTAAGTCCCAAAATACTTGACACCATTGGGTGCGGCGGATATGTTTATCGAATAGCCGATGAGGCACATTGTAAGGCCGGCAAGAATGAAAGGGGATCGCATTTTCAGCTTGTCCGAGTAGTGCGCAAAAGCGAGCAATGTGACAGCTAAATGGAACAGGTTACTGAGTGAAATTGCAGATGGGTAAGAAAACTGACTTCCGGCAACATATGGTGGCACGGTGAGCAACTGGCTGACTGGCGTGTTATATCCAAAGCTGACTGCAATTGAATAAGTGGATCACAATCAGCTTGTCACAACAGACCTCTGGATGATAGTTCTGACACAGATAGGTTAAACACACACCATCATCAAAGATCTAACAGTCAACTTACGGGAGAAACAGGGTGATGCCATACACTGAGTGACTAAATCAGCTTCTGCCGTCGCTGAACAGCAAAAGTGTATCGCTTACGAGGGCCCACGATTGACATGTAAACGAAGATATGAAGCCAGATCTGACAAGTTGGTTGAAGCACGAACACGATAAAGAGATAATTAGCATTTTACCTGCCAGTCTTTGAAAGCCGCCCAGACATGCCTTGTGAAAAACTGCTTTTCCTCGCCGACTGATGAATTATCGTATTCTGAAAGAAATATAACTCGTATCTGCCCCCTCAAAATTTGTTACTTTACTTACCTTTCTTCCAGAGAACAAAGGCACGCTCTTCCGGGGTCAAGAACTTAGCTGTTTCCGGAAAGTCGACCAGCGCTGAACAACAATATATATATGTCAGTCCTCTGTGTGATAGATGCGTGCTGCACTTGCCAAAGACAGAAATGATGGCTACAACTATCGTTGCAAGGCCTTCAATCAGCTGTATATGAGTTTTGAGTATCACTTCTGACATTGATCATGAACGAGCTCACGAAGATCCAAGACCATGCTTCGAGTCCCCCCATACCACCCATATAACCAATCCCAAAGGCTAGTAAACCAGAGAAAGCACCTGAGATTTGTTTGTTTCCATATTAAAATCCCAATGATGTAACGAGACGACATACCTGCAACCGTTGCAGCACCAAAAAACAAGCCAACTTTCGGAGCACTTCAACATCCCAAACGGATAACCAAGTACAGGAGGCTTACTTCGATATTGTAACATGTGTCTCGGATACCAAAAAGTAAGGCTGCAGATCCGTCAGCAATATCCAACAAAAGTTCGTGACTTATCCTCACTAATAAACCACACCAGGGAACAACCCTGCCTCAGAGATACCAAGCAAGATTCGCACTCCAACAAACTGAGGGTACCTGAAGTGTAAGGTCAATATTAAGTCAAAAAATTGGCGAAAACTGCCCAATCTCACGTCTTCACGAAAGCCGAGAGCGTCCTGGAAATAGGCTGCCTCAAGTAATTTTGGAACGTATTAAGACTGAATGACGTACATAACTACCCCCCATACAAACTATCGAGCGTGAGATCAATTCAGCCGCCATCATGCGAGACTTACATTGATCCCTGGAAGCCATCTAAAATACAGGGAGTCAGTCATTGAGTGCTGAAATGTTAACACGAACACTTGCCTGGATGGCCTGATCGCTTTAAGAACCAGGCTTAAGATTGCAGTCAGCGCGCAGATAATCAACACAATGGGCCCCAAACGAACTTGGAGGGACATTCAAACATGCAATATGACTTTACGGTTTACTTCAAAAAAATCCCACACCCGTCAGAATAACATTACTTACTACGATAAACACAATCTATATCCAGCTGTAAGATTGGCAATATCGTGAACAAAAAACGGACCAATGCAACGTTGATCTTCTCTCCCGTGAGGTCCAGTTGAGTGATGAGCCCCTCCAACATCGCGTTACCGATGTTACCTGTTGAAGAGTCGTATTCGATATCAACTGTTGCGATCACTACGCACCTCTGTCAAGGAAAGCCAGGAGATACATCAGACTGAGGATAGGCATTATCCGCAGGTCAATCTTTCTCCACAGTTTCTTCTCCTGTTCTGGCGTCAGCACTGGGACATTTTTGAGATCCAAGACCGAGTCCTCCGGCCGCTCCTCGTCACACCGGTTGTGTTCAGAGCTGATAGAATTCATATGATCGGTGGGGATAGTGTTCACAAGGTCAGTTGTGACAGAAGAGCGACAGGAAGGAGTTTTTAATTTTTCCAAATAGACGTGCGACTGAGGCTTTAAAAGGTCCACGACAAGTGCAATTGTCCAATCATGAAGGTTGATTTGACCAGCATTGCAGTAATGATACCTGCCTGAGTGCCCTTTTGACTAAATCTTAGATCGGTAGGGACGGGGGAACTATATGACAAAGCTGGGGGTATCGAGATACAAAATATCCGCTGACCCTGCGATAGATGGAACTTGTGATGATACAAATATTTGCTCCACGGACGTACTTGTGGATGATTAGTTGTGCCTTTGTGTGACTATTGCCACGTCATCAATGAAATGCATGACACGGAAGGATACCAGTTGCGTGAACCTATTGGAATTAGAAACCCAGAATTCTATACCCGAGTTTGCACAGAAGTCCAAACTTTGGAGACGTCGGTCCGCAGCAACATTTTAAGGCTGGTCCTGGGCCTCCTGGCATGTGTTCCATTATCCGCTATCGAATCGAATCAATTGATGGTGATAATCGAACGTTGCTATATCGACATATCATTTCATGCTCGCACCCTACTTGTCGATTCAGGTCATTCAAAGAGGTAGGATGAGAGATGGTTCATTTCGCGGTTTCCGGCTTTCCTACTATCACAGTTGGCAAGAATCAGGACGGTTCGGGAAGGTGGTACTTAGCTTGACTGTGTCAATCACGTTTCCTGGAGCGCAGTACTAACGTGATACGAAACCGGGGAAGTCATTAATGCTGTACCATGTCAGGTTGACTCCGAGGCATTCACGCGACTCGGAGAGCTTCAACTTTACACATCGATGATCGAAAGGTCGTTTAATTCGGGAGTCGCCGAATGCACGGTGACTGTAACACCTCGTGAGATTTAGGGTACATACATTCTTCATCGCTTCGATTTGAAGCGCTTCTAAATCTTTTACCGCGTCTCATAGCTTCATCATCCGCTCTGACGTGGTACTCCAATTGCCGCGGTTCCTCCTATGTAACAGATTGTGCAGGTAGTCGATAATGGTGTGTCATCTCCAGTCTGCTTCAAACATTGGATCATCATGGGCGCAGCACTGAACATACTGCTGCTCAGTGGTATCCAGCCGGAGTCCCTTTTTAGTCTTCTCCGAGTCCCCGTCATGACAATTTTCGGCTTGGCGCACGGTCATTCGCTGTCGTCCGATGCTTACGAGTCACGACTGAGCGCGAGTACCTCTCACCTCGCATCCCTTTCAAAACGAACTTCACGGCGTGTACCTGGGTCCACTATGTCATGCTATACCACGCCCACTACGCTACACCGCATGGACCATGGTCTCGGATCAATGCACGGCTGTCAGCGACTTCTGAGCGGAGCGCGGCAATAGTGGTCAAGTAACGCCTTCAAGGTGTCAGAGCTTATCAGGAACGCAGGTCAGAAGTGAGTCGATGATCCATCCCTGTTTGTGCTTGATCGAGGGATTTTGTCTGTGCTAAGTACTCGATTTTTTGGAGAACGACGTGGCACATTTTACTTGCATCGAGAGCACACTGGCAAATGACCGAGAAGTCCAACTAACTTATGTAGCTACAACACACCCAGCAGTTCATGTCCCAACTGAAAGGCACCGGTGACTCTCTCGGGCAGTTCGGATATGTTCTAGAGCAGTTTGTGCCAATGCACTCTATAGTTTTCTGTGACCGTGGTACCTCCACCCTAGTAGGATTGGTAGTGACACTGGAAGCGACAAGGATTGTGAGATACAGACTTACAGTCATTTCCGAAAGTTTTGACTCATATGTAGGCCTACAAAACTCGAAACTGACTAGAATGAATTTTCAGCATTTTCACTATCTTTGAACCGCCACAAACATGTGAGTCAAGACTTTCGGAATAGACTGTAAAGGATTTGAACGAGCTGCATGGTATCTGGTAAACTGTGTTTCAGGATATGGTGTGAACGAGTGAGAGAACCACAAACCGCCGACAAAAGTCTGATTGTCCAATGTACGCGAAGTTGCTATGAAAAAATCTTAGGAAAACTATTGAATGTGGCTTCAATAGGCACCGACACAAGTCTTAAGTCTTCTAAGAGGGCTACTCACTGCAATAGTCGAAAACGTGCGGAGTCCTTGATCGTATTTTTGCTTAGGAACAGAGCACGTGTCGGGAAGAAAATAGAATGATTACATTATCATCACATTCGTTGTAATTCTGCGATCCTCATCCCGTACTCATCCCAGACAACTTGCCCGAGGTGACTATACAAGGGCCAACCTCAGATCCTCAAGCACTGTCACCTTCGGCCTGCTGTATCCTACAATAATCTGTGCTCGGTCAGTGCTCTGTCCGACACACAATTAACACCTTGATACCTTCAATTTGAATTGTCACAAAGAATCTTCGCTTCATGTGCCTATGATCAGCGCTAGCTGCCATAGGATACTCAAACTACATGAATACACCCAACTCTGATGGCATGGAACAAAATTGCATGCTGATATCGATACCGTACAGCCGGGCCCGGGACAACTGCTCTCCAGTCAGCAACGCTTGCTACACCAACTCCTGACACTAACGTTTTTTCCGAGTTGTATTCTTGGTGAGTGAGCATCTCTAAGTCAATGAACCATGGGTAAACACGCAACTAGTAAATTCCTGCCATCTTGGATTAAAATTTAAAAACCATTGACCTACTTGTCGCTGTTGTTTTATCAGGAGGTTGAATCTTTGCACCCATTATACTCGAACCGCCACAATTCTCTCATCGATTCTTCGAGAGTGAGCATTTCATACGTGGCATAGATGCCCGATATCCGCGTTCGCCAGCGCATATATAATAGACTAATGAGTATAATGTTGCTTTCCAGTCAGCCATGTTGTCCGCTGCATCCTTGTTGACGATTATCCTCCTAGCTTTGTCAATCATGGGATCGCTCGTTGAAGTTAACGATTCCCCCATCACCCTCCCCATCGCCAGGAGGCTAAATGTCTCCAATGGTACCACTAACCTCGTCCAACAGGATAAAGCTCGCGTCACTGCTATCAAAGACCAATCCTTGAAGCACGGCGGCCATAGCGTTCCTTTGGGCAACAGTCTTGGTGTATACCTCCTCGAAGTTGGCATTGGCAGCCCCGCCACAACTTGTAAGTTCAGCACGGATAAAATATACAGCTACTAATGTATTATTGAAGACGACTTGATTGTCGATGCCTCTACCGCGAACACATGGGTTGGCGCCAAAACTCCGTACGTAAGCACCAGCACCAGTACTTTCACAGGTGAGAGTGTGGCAGTCTCCTACCAACGTGCTTCCTTCTCTGGTATGACACAAATATATCCCGAGTTGTCGAAAATACTCATGATTTTTTATAGGATATGAGTACATCGACACTGTTGACCTTGGTAATGGGCTCATCATCGCTCAACAGTCAATTGGTGTGGCTTATCACACGACGGGCGACTGGGGCGACGCAGACGGTATCCTTGGCCTCGGGCCTGTAGGGTTGACAAAGGGTTCCCTGCCAGATGAAAGTGGAACGACGATCCCGACTATCACTAACAACCTGCATAGCCAAGGCACCATTCATCGCGAGATTGTCAGTATGTATTTCGAGCCCGCCACTTCAGCAGAGATGACCGCCAGTGGAGAGCTCACCTTCGGTGGAACTGTCAAAAAAGAGCATGTCGGTCCCATTACGTACACGTAAGCTACCTCAATTCCTAGGTCAATCCAGGCTGATAGTGGTCGGTTTGTTTCAGTCCTACCACTAATGCGAATCCTTCATCGAACTATTGGGGTATCGACCAGAGCATTTCCTACGGATCCTCGATGATCATGGGCCCCGTTGCGGGTATCGTCGATGCCGGAACCACCTTTATTTATATTGCCACCTGTATGTATCTAGAGTGCAGCAAGTCATCATCGTCTAATCAGTTTTCGATAGATGCCTTCAACACCTACCAGTCTGCAACCGGTGGTACTCCAGATGCGGCGACTGGTCTTCTCCTCATTTCTTCTGCCCAGTACGCAGCCCTCCAGAACCTGAACTTCAATATTGCTGGCGTACGTCATTCCTGTCAGCTTTCGCATCCCTTGTTTATCGTTTGCACAGGAAACCTTCTCTCTCACACCTAACGCCCAGATTTGGCCTCGTGCTCTTAACAGCTACATTGGCGGTAGTAGCAGTGGCATCTATCTCATCGTTGCCGACATCGGTATGCCAAGTAGCAAAGGTTATGACTTTATCAATGGCTACGCATTCATCGAGCGCTTCTTGACTGTGTTTGATTCCTCCCGTTCCCGCGTCGGTTTTGCCAACACTATGTACACTGATGCCACCACCAACTAAAACGGAGCTGCCCAAGTCCACAAAAGACCAGCTTCCAAACCGCAAAACAGCACAAACATTTGGAGGTAGACATAGGACTGTTTCGTGACTTCGATAATCGCCAGATCCCGAAGTGTCAGCGTCGGAGACTCGGACAACTACTAGTAACAGTAAGAAGCTAGCACAAGTTTTATACTCCTTTGAATGAATGTAAGGTAACCAAGCCATGCAAATACTTAGAGAATTCTAGGTCCACTAGGAGCCTCTCATGTAGTTCACAGCTCAGAGTGAACGACGCAGGAGTGTTACTCATAGCCCAACCAGACATAGAATCACAGCTGTTCTAGAGATCCTGCAGACTACCTCGTCGTCTTCTAAACTCCCACCTCCAAACTTTACTTTACTTTTCAAGCGCTGTACCTCCATGTCAGGATCTGCCTTTCAGAGCAACGCCTTATTGGTATCTGGCACTATTCGAGGTCGCCGCATCGTTATCTTTGAAGCTCACTTGATGAGATTTTCCCAGTTGAACTCATACCCTTCGAGGTTCGCTGTCCAAAACTTCTCTATCCAGGTTCGGATCCTACTTTAGTTCGATGCTCGTCGTTGACTGTAATGTTCTCCCAGAAAAACCAATATTATCTTCCTTCGCAGCGCCGTCACTTGATATATTTGTAGTGCTGCTATTGAGTCTGGCGGGGATGATTCGTACCATGAGAGAATGAGTGAGGGGGAATTTATTCACTGAAGCTACAGAAAGTGAGGACCGACTTTTTTTTATCCAAGTGAGTACAAAGGGAATTCGATAGCTGGTATCCGTGGCTAGCAGGGTGACATTCCTTACATAGTTTTTGTTTTGCAAACGGCAAGAAAAACAGCAGGTAGTGACGCTGCGTTTTGCGTCACCGACTGATTTGTGCGCTTCTGATGTCTTGAGCAGGTGGCAGAATAAAACAGACCGCATTCACTGGCACTTTTCAGGGCCTAGGTTCGCGCCTTACTTTGGTTAGATGGCAATACACGTAATGACCACATATCTTTTATAGTCCCTCAGTGTCTGAAATCGGGGTCATCGCCTACGCGTGAGTCTTTGTGTGGGACACGCAAGGACAACCTTGCAGGTTGTGGCACTGCGTTTCGAATGGTTCGCAGAGTTCGGTTTCTCTTGCAAGCTTCAAATTCACTCTCTAGGTCCGCCTTAATTGAATGATCTTTGGACGCTGTGATGCCCTGCAAAATGAGTATACCTGGAATAAACAGTAGATACGGGGGAACCAATACTTTCCTGTACGAGTCGATTGCGATGAACGATACCACGCCCACTACGCTACACCGTATGGACCATGGCCTCGGATCAATGCACGACTGTCAGCCACCTCTGAGCGGAGCGCAGCCATAGTGGTCAATTCACGCCTTCAGTGTGTCAGAGCTTATCAGGAACGTAGCAGGTCAGAAGCGAGCCAATGGTGCATCTCTGTTTGTGCTTGATCGAGGTATCTTGTCTGTACTCGGCCTTCTGGAAAACGATACGGCACACTCTACTCGCATCGAGAGCAAAAATGACCGAGAAGTCCAACTAACTTCTTCATTCAAACAAACAACACACCCAGCAATTATTGCCCCAATTGTAAGGCAATGGTGACTGTTCCGGGCAGTCCGGAAATGTTCTAGAGAGGCACGGGACAGGGCACGCTATACTTACGTCAGCCGCTGCTGCTGTCTCCGCCCTAGAAGGATTGGCAGTGGCACTGGAAGCGAGAAGGATTGTGAGGTAAAGGATTTGAATGAGCTTCATGGTATCTAGTATAACTATGTTTTAGGCAACTATGTGAACATGCGAGGGAACCACACACCGTCGACAAAAGTCTGATTGTCCAATGTACGCGAAGTTGCTATGATTAAAGCTATTGAATATTGCTTCAATGAAATAGACATAGTCTGACACAAGAGGGCTACTCACTGCAATAGTCGAAAATGTTCGCCCCTGAAGCCCTTTCAACTTGGCCGCTGATCTTATACTTGTTCTCGTTCTATAATCGGCGGAGAAAGAAAAGACATACAGCTCTGTGAATGAAATACATCTCCTTGGCAATCTACATGCAAGCCTTGAAGGCGAGCCACGTTAGCAATACTTGAACTGAGCCGGCTGTACTACTGATTCAGTAAAAAGGACGATTACCCGCGGGTAAATCGCCGCCGTGATATGGAAGCCCGGACGGTCGTGCTCTGTTACTAAGCTAAAATTAGGTCAGGACTCAGGACCACGGACACCACATCAGCAAACCACAACTTTTCCCACAGGAAGCACAAAATTTGTGTTCTTGTGCAGCTAGCGACAGACTCTACAGTTCCGCCAGGGTCCCAGCACACTCGAACCACAAGGCATCCAGCCGCTCACAGTTCTACTAGCACACACCCGTTGTGCCTTTGGCACAGGAAGCAAAAAGAGTGCTTCATGCTCTTTGTTGGCTTCCTGGCCTTCAGCTTCATCCTACTTTGGGTGTCTTAATAATCATTGCAGGTTTTGAAATAAATTATATTTTATTCACTGAGTTGTGATCAAAATTTCAAAATAAGTTACATTCTTTGAGCAGGGTTTTGACAAAAGTAAAAGTACAATTGAATATATGTATTTTCTCATCTGCTGTTGTGTCTGGTGTTCTGTGCCCCATCTCCTATGGTTTACTGTCTGCTGTATAAAACACCACCTCTTGTCGTCCTCCCGTCCTCTTGTCTTTTTTTTTTTTTTTTTAAATCAAAGTTTTTGTCCTATGGAGAGAGATACTCTATGGAGGACAGTACTAGCTAGTCTAGGGGACCCCCGGTGTCCCCTTCGCATCTCTGGGCACAAATGTCCTGATGTGAGGCGTACCCCCATCAGTCCGCCATTCCTGCCAGCCATTTTAGACGTGCCACTCTTCGAAGATGAGATGACTGTAGTGTACATATGTGCAGTATGTGTGCTGGCTATATGGAAATTATAACACATACTCAGCTGCTTTCGCGGACAGGTACAGGAGTCGGGTTGGTCATGATTGGGAACGAATGGAAGTTGTTAGACCTAATAATGAGCAAAGGTCCTGTGTTCCCGATTTTGTAATCCAGGGGGCTATGGTAGTGCTGAAGACTCTGTGTGTATGAGTGAGAGAGATAGGTGATGAGGGAGAGTGATAGGGTGGTGTGAGGATGATGAGTGGGTGGTTGTAGATGCAGGGTGAATACACTTTGCATTATACACTAGATTAGAGAATGGGTGATCAATCTGGTTCAGTTTGAGGGGTGGGTACTTCACCTAGTACTGCTTTCAGTCTTCCTGTAGCATTGACATATGAAATGAGATGAGAGGTGGCTTCTGGATCTGAGAGAAGATATTGAGTGGACGAGGTGTTGCGACCTAGGGCTAGGGTGAGATGATGTCATTCACATTGATAGTGCAGGCAGGCGAGGAGGAAATGATGCACTGATTCAACAATGCCAGGGCAGTGGGGGCACAAAGGACTGTTGGCTTTCCGAATGCGATATAGGTGTTTATTGAGCAGAGCATGTCCTGTCCTTAGGAAGATATATAGGCTAGTGAGACATTTCGGAAAAGTGGCTGATAGTTTGAGGAAGGATCAGTGGAGAATGTGAGGGTCGATGCGGTTGATGTGGTGAAAACGGGGGGATGTGCGCCATATGGTCTTTCAGTGCTCAGCTGTGGTCTTGGTGTGCAATTTGAGTAGGGCAGAGATGCTCAATGGGAGGGTGCGATGGCGTAGGTAGTGAGGGAGAAGATGGGTCAGGCTGTCGTGTTGGTGACCTTCAGAAGCTACTTTGGCATGTTTATCTGCCTCCTCATTACCATGCATATTGGTGTGTCCCAGTACCCAACACAGGGTGACATTAGAGTTGGCATTTTTCCATGCCACCTGATGCATTATCCTGTGAAAATGATCTGCTAGGTATGAACCAGGTCTTGAATAGAAACTCTCACCCGCTTGAATAGAAGCTTGATTGTCAACCAGGATGGAGATGGGAAAGATAGGGTCATGCTCGGTGGCTAGGAGGCATGCTGCTAAGGTAAGCCCCACTTCCTCTGCTTCAAAGACTGTGTGTTCCTCCTCTGAACCTAGGTGGTACTGTAAAGTCCTTGGTTGCCTTCCTGCTCTGAACAATACTGCCGCCGCTCATATTTTGCCTTTGTAGCCAGAACCATCACTATATATCTGGATCTGGTCAGTAAGGTGTTCACATTCCACTACAGCCTCCTCTTTGTTGGTGGCAATGTGAGTGGACCAGGGGTTCTTAGCTGATGGGGGCCGACAAGCTGGATTGAGAGTTTCTACCATGTCAGAATGTATGTTGAAATGGTAAGTAAGGTGATGGAGGGAGGTGCGGTGTGACACTACATAACGTCTTGCTGCTTTGCATACTGGGGTGAACAAGGGGTGGGAACTTGGGTGGGCAGTAAGACATATGATAGCATGGAAGCAGGCATTTTGAAGGAGGAGGGTAGTGGGAAGAAGGTTGGGATGGGCTTCTAGCATGTCTGTTGTTGTGGTCCTCATGGCACCAGTGATTGAAATGGCTGCCAGGTGTTGTACTGACGTTAGGCATTTTGCGACACCGACAGATCCCCTGCTGAAGAGTGTTAGAGCCTGCACAAAAGATCGGGGAAAACCATAGGTCAGCAGCATAAAGCATCTTAGGTACCACTACAGCTAGATATAGCTGTTGCATGAGGTGCATGGGAATGCCTTTGGCAGATGTAGAAAGACAATGCAGTTGCATAACATATGCCAAACCCCTTGCCACTGCATTGTTGACTTGAGCTTTCCAGCGGAGTTCTTGGTCCAGTATGACTCCAAGGAATTGGTGAGTCTGGACTGGGCAGATGACAGACCCTTGGATGTGCATATTAGGTTGTGGTTTGAGTCTGTTCATAGAGAAATCCATTAGCGCAAATTAGTTAGTTTCAAAACGAGAATTATGAGCTCTTGACCATTCATATCCCCCCTCTGGGCATTCCAGCATGTTGGCAA